ATGTGGCAGATGTTGCAAGTATATGGAATAGGTGGTAAGTTATTAAATGCTGTAAAGAGTTTTTATGAGGATAGTGAGGCTCAGGTTAGGGTGTGTAGAAGAGAGGGAGACTACTTCCCGGTAAAAGTAGGTCTTAGACAGGGATGTGTAATGTCACCATGGTTGTTTAATATATTTATAGATGGGGTTGTAAAGGAAGTAAATGCTAGGGTGTTTGGGAGAGGGGTGGGATTAAATTATGGGAATCAAATTCAAAATGGGAATTGACACAGTTACTTTTTGCTGATGATACTGTGCTTATGGGAGATTCTAAAGAAAAATTGCAAAGGTTAGTGGATGAGTTTGGGAATGTGTGTAAAGGTAGAAAGTTGAAAGTGAACATATAGAAAGAGTAAGGTGATGAGGGTGTCAAATGATTTAGATAAAGAAAAATTGAATATCAAATTGGGGAGGAGGAGTATGGAAGAAGTGAATGTTTTCAGATACTTGGGAGTTGACGTGTCGGCGGATGGATTTATGAAGGATGAGGTTAATCATAGAATGATGAGGGGAAAAAGGTGAGTGGTGCGTTGAGGTATATGTGGAGTCAAAAAACGTTATCTATGGAGGCAAAGAAGGGAATGTATGAAAGTATAGTAGTACCAACACTCTTATATGGGTGTGAAGCTTGGGTGGTAAATGCAGCAGCGAGGAGACGGTTGGAGGCAGCGGAGATGTCCTGTTTAAGGGCAATGTGTGGTGTAAATATTATGCAGAAAATTCGGAGTGTGGAAATTAGGAGAAGGTGTGGAGTTAATAAAAGTATTAGTCAGAGGGCAGAAGAGGGGTTGTTGAGGTGGTTTGGTCATTTAGAGAGAATGGATCACAGTAGAATGACATGGAAAGCATATAAATCTATAGGGGAAGGAAGGCGGGGTAGGGGTCGTCCTCGAAAGGGTTGGAGAGAGGGGTAAAGGAGGTTTTGTGGGTAAGGGGCTTGGACTTCCAGCAAGCGTGCGTGAGCGTGTTAGATAGGAGTGAATGGAGACGAATGGTACTTGGGACCTGACGATCTGTTGGAGTGTGAGCAGGGTAATATTTAGTGAAGGGATTCAGGGAAACCGGTTATTTTCATATAGTCGGACTTGAGTCCTGGAAATGGGAAGTACAATGCCTGCACTTTAAAGGAGGGGTTTGGGATATTGGCAGTTTGGAGGGATATGTTGTGTATCTTTATATGTTTATGCTTCTAGACTGTTGTATTCTGAGCACCTCTGCAAAAACAGTGATAATGTGCGAGTGTGGTGAAAGTGTTGAATGATGATGAAAGTATTTTCTTTTTGGGGATTTTCTTTCTTTTTTGGGTCACCCTGCCTCGGTGGGAGACGGCCGACTTGTTGAAAAAAAAAAAAAAAAAAAAAGCTATCTGAGCGAGCTAAGCTCATGATATAGAACTACGTGAGGGGACTTGGGCCTCAATGGCATAGTTCTACGTGAGGGCCATTGAAAGAGCGTTCAGTCACCATTAGACAAGCTTTACAGTAAAATTACAAATGAAAATATGTTTGCAATGATAAACTTTAAGCTGCATAATATTTTGCTAACTTATCAGCATTTAAAAAAGCTGCCAGCAGATGTCACGGCACCTGCCCAGGTTGTTCCTGTAATATTTAGGTCTCTTGTCAATGTTGAAGGAATTTCAGTCTAAGAAAATAAAACTAATTTAGTTCCTATCTTTCCTTGGATTCAATGTAAACACCCACGGCACTCATTACATTCATACATACATACTGTAATAATTGAGTGTAATATCCTGATTTTGAACAAATTGTGGATGTTAATTGCGAGATAAAATGAGCTATGTTATTTAATCTACAGTTCTTAACTAATCTTTTCTCCAAACATGCTTAAAATAAACATTCATAACAAAATACCAATGCATCCAGCAAAAACCTAACCTCAACTTTCTAGATATCACCTGACCAATCTCCTCCAGTTAAATGTGAGCATTCTATACATGCATAAAATGAACACACAAAATATGAATGCATTTGGCAAAATAAAAGTTATTTACTTAAATAACTTTTGTTTGGATAGATGCAATGATTTTGCTCCAAAGTGCAAGCTTCCTAAGTCAGAGCACTGCAAGTCATGGACCTACCATACTCCCTTAAGACCAGCATGATGCAGTTTTATGTCTGTGGAAGGCTGAGTCCATACTGTGCAAGGCAACTGATCTGTGTATGCTTAAAATATTTTTACCTCTTGTAATGTGTAAAGAAAATAACCTGTATCTGCATTAAACACCTATGTTATTACCATATACTGCATGTACTACTCATCTAATATAAGTCTGAAGGATGCAAGCAATGACTTTCTTGGCAAAGCTATTGCAATTTTTGTTATTATTATTTTATAGTTATAAGAGCACAGCTATGCTAGGGATGTCCCATTTTCAGTGTTAAATCTATCGTATAATTTTCAAAAAATTTCAGTGGTCGAAGTACTCATTACATTCTTGTATATTTTGTTTCATTTCTCTATCTCGGTTTGCAAAAGAATGGAATAGGATATTTTACATAAGGAAATAGTAAGTCATGACTTGATAAAGCGCTACGCAGAGTGGGAGAAAAAAAAAACTCAAAAAAAAAAAAAAAAAAAAAAAGAGCTTGTTCTGTGACTCGGAAAATTGCGATTTCATCCAAAGCTGACTACAGTATTACAATGGATTATGACAAATCACAAAAATACAATAGTAATAATCTTGTGCAATATGTACTATATTATAGAGAATAAGTCCAGAATTCTTACACAGTAAGATAGTAGACGGCAACAGTCCAGGGAGGTACTACCATCCTGCCAAGTAAGTGTAAAACAGAAGCCTGTATTTGTTTTACATGATGGTAGGATTGCTGGTGTCTTTTTCTGTCTCATAAATATGCAAGATTTCAGGTAAATCTCGATACTTCTACTTACACTTAGGTCACACAACACATGCATGTACAAGCATATATATACGCACCCCTCTGGGTTTTCTTCTATTTTCTTACTAGTTCTTGTTCTCGTTTATTTCCTTTTATCTCCATGGGAGAGTGCAACAGAATTCTTCCTCTGTAAGCCATGCATGTCATAGGAGGCAACTGAAATGCCAGGAGCAAGGGGCTAGTAACTCCTCCTCCTGTATACATTACTAATGTCAAAAAGAGAAACTTTTTTTTTCTTTTTGGGTCATCCTGCCTTGGTGGGATGCCATTGATTTGTTGAAAGAAGTCCAGAATTAAGAAAAATAAATGATGAATCAAGAATGAACCATTAAGAACACCAATTAAAAGACAAGAAAATGATACAATATGATAATTACAGTACAATTAACCTAATAATTTTTTGAGAGAGTTTGGAAAGATTTTTTAAAACCTGCCATATGACAACATTCTGCATTAAGCATTTTTTGCCCTTTGGGAAATCTGAAAGGTTACATAACTAATTACACTCCATTTTTTATTTTTTGAGATTTTAGATTTTAGTCAACCTATAAGGTGTAACAATAATATTCATGAAATGAATGCTCACAGACTACACATGTAATTAAAAATGCAGTATACTCTATATCTAAATGAGCTATAGGAATATCAGGAAGAATTTCAGCACAGGAGTAGTAAAGAAGTGAAATGAACTGAGCAATGACATTAGAGGCAGACTCCATTATGGGGACTGAAAAACAGGTGTGATAAGACTAACTCATATCAGTCTAAGGTTGGCTAAGGGGCAGGATCATTACCTGGAAATCATTTTCCACCCTTCCCTACAAACTCAAAAAGGGTAACCACATGCATGTACTATCAATAAAAAAGTCTATAGGCAATGGACCATTGGATATTAGACTGGAGGAAGGAAGTACAGAGGTAGTGAATGCATTCAGTTTTTGGGAGGGGTCATGTCAACATATGGATCTATGAAAGACAAGGTGAACCACAAAACAAATGAGGGAAAAAAAGTGAAACATCTACTGAGAGGAAGATCTTTTTGTATGGAAGCCAAAAAGAGAAATGTAATAATGGTATGAACACTTTTATATGGGTGTAAGGCATGAGCTTGAAACAGTTTTTGCAAAGAGGAGGCTGGAGGCAGTGGAGATCTCATTTTTGAGGGTGAGGTATGATATGAATCTTATGCAGAAATTAGATGACACAATAACCATAGGTATATTTCACAAAGCTGAGGAGGAATTGTTGAGGCGTTTTGGGCATTTAGAGAAGATGGAGATGAATAGGATGACTAAGAGGGTATACAAATAGGTTGGAGGAGGATGGATAAGGGTCATCCTAAGAAGGTTTGGAGGGAGGTGGGTAAAGCTAGTTTTGAGTTATCAGGGATTGGGCATCCAGCAGGCATGTGTCTGATCAGATTAGGTAGAGAAGAGTGGTTTTCAAGGCTTTCTGTGCTTAATGTGTGAGCTAGGGAACATTTATGAAGGGATTCAGGGAAACTTGTTAGAAAAACTTGAGTCCTGGAGGTGGTATGTACAATGGCTGCACTCTGAAGAAGGGGAAGGGATGTTGCAGTTTGGAAGGTCAATGAATTGTGATATCTGTGCACTTCTGGGAAGACAGCTATTTAACAAATGATGGTGAATGAGTATCCTTGTTTTTCAGGTCATCCTTACTCAATGGGAGATGGCATGTGTTAAAAAATACTCCTCTGGCATATGCATATCCTTCTACCAGTACTACCAATATACAATAACAATTGGAGGTAATCAAACACAGCAAATACCAATATTAATTAAAACAACTAATTATACTTCAAAATAAATAAAATTATTAGAGTATGACAAATCTGTTAATAAAGATGGGACACCACATGCATAGCTCTACTCCAGTAACTATAAGCAAGTTATCACACAAATTAACATTTTGATAATGCTGGCATAACTGGAATTTTATTAATCTCCTTCGTCTTTTGTTTCTTTCTTCTCAAGTTCTTTACGGACATTTAACTGTGCCATCCACTTTCGAACTAACCTGCCAGGCCACTGGTAATCCTTATCGGTGAGTGGAACATAGATGACACCCATCAAGACTTGTCGCTTAATGCTACCATCTTCCAGCTTGTCAATCTGCAATATTATTTGACCAGGTAATAAGGATAAATATAGACCCGATTAACGAATAAGTATGGTAGCTCAGGACCAAATGCATAAAAATTCAATATTAATAATAGCTAGCTAGTGTCAGCATAGATTCAAAGTTTCTGGTGTTGGTCTGAGAAAATATATTTCAATGAAGAAAAGCTATTTAATTTATCTTTATTTCATGCATTAGATTTTACAAGATGTAAACAAATCACTATTATTATTATTTTTTTTTTTTTTAACAAGTCGGCCGTCTCCCACCGAGGCAGGGTGACCCAAAAAAGAAAGAAAATCCCCAAAAAGAAAATACTTTCATCATCATTCAACACTTTCACCTCACTCACACATAATCACTGTTTTTGCAAAGGTGCTCAGAACACAACAGCTTAGAAGCATATACCTATAAAGATACACAACATATCCCTCCAAACTGCTATTATCCCTCCTTTAGAGTCCAGGCATTGTACTTCCCATTTCCAGGACTCGAGTCCGGCTATATAAAAATAACCGGTTTCCCTGAATCCCTTCACTAAATATTACCCTGCTCACACTCCAACATATCATCAGGTCCCAAATACCATTCGTCTCCATTCACTCCTAACATGCTCATGCACGCTTGCTGGAAGTCCAAGCCCCTCGCCCACAAAATCTCCTTTACCCCCTCCCTCCAACCTTTTCGAGGACGACCCCTACCCCGCCTTCCTTCCCCTACAGATTTATACACTCTCTATGTCATTGTACTTTGATCCATTCTCTCTAAATGACCAAACCACCTCAACAACCCCTCTTCAGCCCTCTGACTAATACTTTTATTAACTCCACACCTTCTCCTAATTTCCACACTCCAAATTTTCTGCATAATATTTACACCACACATTGCCCTTAGACAGGACATCTCCACTGCCTCCAACCGCCTCCTCGCTGCTGCATTCACAACCCAAGCTTCATACCCATATAAGAGTGTTAGTACTACTATACTTTCATACATTCCCTTCTTTGCCTCCATAGATAACGTTTTTTGTCTCCACAAATACCTCAACGCACCACTCGCCTTTTTTCCCTCATCAATTCTATGATTAACCTCATCCTTCATAAATCCATCAATAATTTAAATATTAAATACACTAGGTACTTAAAAACTATTTAACAGGAATTTTGCTGTAATGAAATATACTATCAAATGCAGTTCTAATACACAAATGACCCGTATGTAGGAGAGAAGAGTTTATGACGATGTTTCGGTCCAACTTGGACCATTTACAAAATCACACATTGACTTTGCAAATGGTCTAAGTTGGACTGAGACAGCATCATAAGCTTCTCTCTCCTATGTGTGGGTTTTTTGTGCATTGTTCCAGTCACAGAATTGTACTTTTGCTCTTTGCAGCTTTAATAAATATTTGGCTTGAATTCCAAAATTCCAAATACAGTACATAATACTGTTGCTTCATAAAGTGATGTCATCATTATCAATTTTCAATTTGGTAAAACATTACTTGGTGATGTCTGAATGAAATGTTGTAAACATTGTAATGTTGCAGGAGACTGTCTCACTCTCCTTCACATAACTGTACTCACTACTACCTTCCCTCACTATATAACTACCACTCCTACCCTCCTTCCCCTCCATCTCCCCCTCCTCTTCCCCTCTCTGGCTCCCCTTCCCCTTCTTTCTTGCTTCCTCCCCTCCTCTTTCCTTCTCTATTTCTCTCTCTCTCTTAACTGCTAAAAAAAAAAAAAAAGTCACATAAAACATAGCAAATGCAATATTTAAATTGAAGGAATGTAAATTTAAGAGTTACTGCTTTCAAAACCCATCTTTCTAAAGCATTAACTCAAGAAATTAGCTAACATTTTATGAACGCTTAGCGAGTCATCTATCACTTAAAGTTACAATAACCTCAAATAAATTATCCAGCTTGTAGTACTTGTATAAACCATTGAATCACCTGTTCTAAATTTTGGTTTGCTCCCTCGGGGCCAATAGGAATGATAAGTCGTCCACCTGGAGCAAGCTGCTCAACCAGCGCTTGAGGAAGAGTAGGGGCTGCTGCTCCTACATGGATGGCATTATAAGGAGCTTCCTCAGGATGGCCTAACCGTCCATCACCAACTGTAAAAGATCTACATTATATTTCCTTAAAATGTTGAAAAAACAAATACAGTGGTACCTCGAGTTACGAACTGAATTCGTTCCAGAAGGCCGTTCGAGTGCCGATACCGAATGAATTTGTTCCCATAAGGAATAATGTAAATTAGATTAGGCCGTTTCAGACCCTCCAAAAATACACTTACAAAAGCACTTACAAAAATACACTTACACAACTGTTCAAGATGGGGGCTGTTCAAAACTCGAGGTCCCACTGTATAATATTTAATATGAAAGATGAAGTTTCACGTACATATTGTATATATGCTTAAGTAAAAGTGTCAGGAACACCCATCATTGAAAGGCAAGAAACCACTTAATATAAAAAATTTAAACACAAATAAGAGAGATTTGATGTTTCAGCCTCATGATCTGCTGAACAGGGTCTGTGACTGAAACCAAAATACTGTATATTATCTCTTTTGGCATGCAACTCGATGCTGGGAGCAAGGGGCTAGTAACCCCTTCTCCTGCATATATTACTAAATTTAAATGGAGAAACTTTCATTTTTTTCTTTTGGGCCACCCCGCCTTGGTGGGATGTGGCTGGTGCATTGAAAAAAAGATCTCTTTTGACCTACATTTTAAATTTTGATTCTAGTGGTTTCTTGCCTTTTCCTCACAATTAACAGTACACGAATTCCTCCACAGAATACAACAAACTTACATACAGCATAAAAATGTTTGAATTTGAACTACTAGCTAGATCAAATAAGCCACATCCCATGCTTGAAGAACTGTTCATTAAATAATTTTATCCAATCACTTAGCCATTTAACATAAACACTCCAAATTATTCACAATTTGGTATTTTAACACCGATGTGGCGCCAAACATTAATGTATAAAATGAGAACTACATGATCAATCTGTAGAAATTCAAGTAAACATGTGAATGTCATTTATACCTAGCCATCCAATTTTTAGCACAATAAATGTTCCACTTATAATACATTTAAGTTTTTTAAAACTACAAAACTTATGAAAAGCCATTGCTACATATCACACTATCAGTGACACATTTAACAGGTGATATCTGAGCAATTCAGACAAAATGGACAGGTTCACACCCTACTACTAAACACTTACCGTACATCAACACATGAATGAGCCATCAGCTTCAAACAGTTACCAAGTTTCTACTAAACAAATACTGGATAAAACTCTGAACCACTCAATAACATGAATTCCCAACAATCAAAGAACATATGATAAACTTTTAACCTTCTTGAGATACAGTTACTAAACAGGTTTAATCCATTCAAGTAAACAATATGAAATTGCTACATGGACTATATAGCCCAAGCCAGAAGGTCAAGTTACGCATTTATAAAAAAGGTCTTTCCTTTCATAACTTAAGAGGCTCCAAACAGTATGTTTAATACTACTAAGCTAGATACCTATGGAAATTAAGGAAGTGCTCCAGTAGAGATCACATTTAAATTTGGAAATGAGCAACTGAAAATAAAATTCCTTACAAGAATGCCTAAGGAGAGGCATTAAGGCAATAGGCCTGTTGCCTATTATTATTATTACTAGATTCATGAGGAGTGCTAAACCAAGAGAGGTCATACAACCCCTGGGAGAATGGAAGACATTCAGACTTGATTCAAGGAAGTGAAGTAGTTCTAATTCCTTAGATCAAGATCCCCTCTCCAGCATCAAGGAACCTCCCTGAGGGAAGGCCTGTTGCCTAGATGTCGAAGGAAGGAATGTAAAGGTTCTCATAAAGGAGAAGAATCTTCAGGATACATGTTGGGCAGAGAACATGATATCAACAGAGATGATCCAAGCTAGGTGAAGCTGTCTTGCAGTCAAGAGGGAGCCCGGGTTTTTATTCAAGAACGTCTTGCACGATCTAAACTTGCAAAATTCATCTCTATGGGACACAATCTTGCTTAGATATACAGTACTGTGAAATCCAGACTTATCTCAAAGCTAGGGCAATATGAAAGAAGACTTTTATAATAACCTTACCCAGAGAAGCTTTACTCAAGGAAAGAAACTTGCTAAGGACAAAACCGGCTCCAGAGACCTTTTGGGATGTTCTTCTGTACCGGCATGACTGAAGGAAAGAAGTACCTCATTATAACTTCAGAATGTCAAGAGAGGTCAGCGATGAAGAATGGCATCTTCATGATTCTAAATAACCATAATTTACAGCCATATAAAAATGGCTAAAAAAAAATTAAAATGAAATTACAACATAGACTATGGTATAACCATGAAATATTTAACAGAGAGAGATGTTACATGTACTCTTAAGTTTTAAGGATCTGAAGTATTTTAAAGATACATTTGAATGCTGGTTAACATGGCATTTATTTTTTTTAACACATCTGCCGTCTCCCACCAAGGCAGGCTGACCTAAAAGGAAAAACACTTTCACTGTCATTCACACAAAATCCTTGCAGAAATGTTCAGATATGACAGCTTAGATGTCACTCCAAACAGCCAATATCCCAAACCCCTCCTTTAAAATGCAGGCATTGTACTTTTCACCTCCAAGACTCAAGTCTGGCTAACTGGTAGTTATGTTCCTGAAAATGGTATGTATTAAAACAATCATGTAAAATGAACTGAAGAACATATGGGAAAAATAGGGTTATTCATCTTGAATCCCTTTTCCCCCAAGGTTGATGTAGTGATGTGTCACAGTTAATACAATATATTTATCTACAAGAGTTAAATAAATAATACAGAATTTATCTCTGAAGGAGAGGTATTGCAGTTTTAAAACTGTAGTGCAAGTGCACCTCTGGCAAGACAGTGATGGAGTGAATGATGAAAGTTTTTCTTTTTCAGGCCATCCTGCCTTGGTGGGAGACAGCCAATGTGATGATTAAAAAAAAAAAAAAAAAAAAAAAATTACCTTAAATTCTGGTTGCTGGTGTATGTTGATTTGAAATGGAGTGGAGAGGAATCATGTAGCCCTACTGGGCTGACATGGAAGGTTATGGATTGTTGGATGGCTGTCGTTGTTGCACTGATGTCTATGATTGTAGTGGAATTACTGGGGAATTCTGGTCTACTTTACCCTGCAGTACAATATACAGCTGATGGTAAGGCTCATCATCTGCTCCAGCCTGTTTCAGAGCAGTGCTTCTTGATTTATCAGGGCCCTCTTCAATGAAAAAAAGTCTGCAACTTTACCAAAAATACAGAACTGTTCGTGTAACAGTTTCAATGTTAACTTTTTCCTCATGTTCATTTTCCTCATCTCCATCTGTTGTCTGCATCCCTTGTATCTGGGCACTGAGTTCTACCAACATTTCCTCTAGACTTCTGTCTTTTTCTTCACCCTCTAACCTTTCATTCACATCTTGCACATCTTCAAAGCCCTCACCTGGCAATCTCCTTACCAGTTGAACAATTTCCTGCACCTGGCTCTCAACTGAGGGAAACCCTGTGAAAATGTCTGCCACACTAGGCCATAACTTTCGCCAGCCTGTATGTAATTTTGATTGGAGCACTTTGTTCCATGCACCTTTGATATAGTTGATAGCATATGCAATGTTAAATTTACTCCAAAAATCTGGTATTCCAAGCTCAGACTTAGTGCCCATTTCTGCAACACATTTCCACAGCACTTTTCCTATGTAGGTATACTTAAAATGTCTTAATTTCATGGTTGTACTAAATGCTGTATTTGGTGGTAAAAACAACTTTTACATGTGGATGCACACCTACCAAAATTTCTGTACGAGTACAGGAATTATCAAGAGTGAAGAGAACCTGGAATGCAAGGTTCTTGTTGCACAGGTAAAACCTGACTGATAATCAAGTGATATTTAATCCAGTCAAAAATTCCTCTGTCACCCAAGATGACTGGTTTGACCTTCAAATAACTGGCAAGGTGGTTTTATTTGAACTTTTCAAAGCACAAGAAGTCTTGAGTGGTAAAAAACCATGGGCTTACATTTAAAATGGCTTGACACATTACTGCAAAGTAACAAGCTGAAGAAATCCATTGCACCACTTTCAAGCTTATCTAAGATTTCAATTTTCTTCATAACACCAAGACTTCCATGCTTATGCTTCTTCTTTGCACTTCCAGGATCACTCGCATTCACCTTGGGTACCATGGTTACTATCTAAGATTAGATGGGATAACGAAAAGATAAAAAATCAATTCACTAACAGGCCGAGTATGGTACTAGACACACACTAAGAGTATTGTGTGTGTAACAGAGCACAAAATACGTGCTAAAGGAATAACTGGCAAAGTGGGGAGATGGATCTTCAACTTCCTAACCAAACGAACACAAAGAGTAGTGGTCAACAGAGTTAAATCGGAGGCCGCCATAGTGAAGAGCTCTGTTCCACAAGGCACAGTACTTGCCCCATCCTGTTCCTCATCCTCGCATCAGACAGACAGAGATGTAACCCACAGCACTATCACCATTTGCAGACGATACTAGGATCTGCATGAGGCTGTCATCTATTGAGGACATGGTTAACCTCCAAGAAGATATAAACAAAGCTTTCCAGTGGGCAACGGAAAACAATATGATGTTCAATGAGGACAAATTCCAACTACTCCGTTATGGAAAACTGGAGGGGATAATAACTAGAACAGAGTATACTACAAACTCTGGCCATACAATAGAGTGGAAAAATAATGTAAGGGACCTGGGAGTAGTAATGTCTGAGGATCTCACTTTCAAGGATCACAACAGTGCCACGATCACAAGTGCAAAGAAAATGATAGGATGGATAATGAGAATGTTCAAAATGAGCCAATGATGATTCTTTTCAAATCACTTGTTCTCTCTAGGCTGGAGTACTGTTGTACATTAACATCTCCGTTCAAAGCAGGTGAAATTGCAGATCTAGAGAGTGTATAGAGAACCTTTACTGCACATATAAGTTCTGTCAAGCACCTTAACTACTGGGAACACTTGGAAGCACTTGACTTGTATTCGTTGGAATGCAGGAGAGAGAGATGTATCATAATCTACACTTGGAAAATCCTTGGAGGAATGGTCCCGAATCTACACACAGAAATCACTCCCTACGAAAGTAGAAGACTGTGCAGGTGATGCAAAATGCACCCAATTAAAAGTAGGGGCACCATTGGTACACTAAGGGAAAACACCGTAAGTGTCCGGGGCCCAAGACTGTTCAACATCCTCCCACCAAGCATAAGGGGAATTACCAATAAACCCCTGGCTGCCTTCAAGAGAGCTGGACAGATACCTAAAGTCAGTGCCGGATCAGCCGGGGTGTGGTTCGTACATTGGACTGCGTGCGGCCAGCAGTAACAGCCTGGTTGATCAGGCCCTGATCCACCGGGAGGCCTAGTTGTGGACCGGACTGTGGGGGCGTTGATACCTGGAATAACCTCCAGGTAGACTCCAGGTAGATATTATGTAGGCCTCCTCCATTAGACAATGTGCAGTGTAAATATATTAATATGGTGTGTTAACTGAAAATATGCCACAAATTTTGCAACCGTGTTAACATAACTGTTGGGTAAAAGACACCTACAGATGTCTTACTCAACTGAGGTTCTTCATTCCTGATCTGATGATACTGATTAGATAAATTTAAAAATTGCACCTACCATTCAAAAGGGCAAAACTGCTGGTGTCATCCTTATCCTTGCATTACACCACAAAATCCTATTTTCTCATATCTCCCACACATCTTTCCCTTTTCCTTGTAGCAAATTACAAGTGTGATAACAATAACAGTACATCCTAGGTGGAGAATGTTATGAATAATGCAGTACTTATCAAAGGAGACACTGGAAAGAGATGGAGTGAATAAACTGTTTAATGAATGGAGTACATGTATTACAGAAAATATTGCTAGAATGATTATATGCTATAGGAAAACACAAGAATGACAGTGATGAAAGAAAAGACAATTTGACAAGCCCTCTCATTCAGTGCAATAAAGATAAAAAAAGAACTGCTCAAATATGGTATTTAGATACTTTATTCTACCCACTATATGTAATTAAAGTTATCCTAACTACAATTATAGCAGCAAATCATGAATAATTTCATTGAAAAAATAAATCTCTCAATTTACTAACCAACGAGCTTAACTATGCCTGATGTCAGCAGATCGGGACTATCCTTCTCGATATTGTCTTGAGAAAATTTTACAAGTTCATTTATGTGGTCAATTCCTACAGCACGGCCAGTCTCTCCAACCTGTATTGAAACAATACATTATAAATATTATTGTGTCTGTTTATCTGTACTAGATAAATTTTTAAAAGGTATATTTTTAGTAATAGAATGGTTATACCCATATCTGTTTTTCTCTTTTGTAACAGCAATTAACATATACATGCATTGTACTTTAGAAATGTTAAAAACATAACTTATTTTTTTTAACACTGGCCATCTTCCACAGAGGCAGGGTGACCTGAAAAAGTAACACTTTCACCATCATTCACACTATCATCACTGTCTTGCCAGAAGCACACAGATACAACAGTTTAGATGTCACTTTCAACAGCAAATATCCCAAACCCTTCCTTTAGAGTATACAGGCACTGTACTTCCCACCGCCAGGACTCAAGTCCGGCTAACTGGTTTCCATGAAACCCTTCACAAAATATTACCCTACTCACACTCCAACAGCTCATCAAGTCCCAAAAACCATTCGACTCCATTCACTCCTATCTAAATACGCTCACACATGCCTGCTGTATGTCGAAGCCCCCTGTACACAAAACTTCCTTTACCCCATCCCTCCATCCTTTCCTAGGACAATCCTTACTCCACCTTCCCTCCACTACAGATCTATACACCCTCCAAGTCATCCTATTTTGTTCCATCCTCTCTAAATGACCAAACCACCTCTAACACCCCCTCCTCAGCCCTTTGAAAAGTACTTTTAGCAACTCCACACCTCATAATTTCCACACTACAAATTCCCTGCATAATACTTATATATGCCACACGTTGCCCTCAGACACATCTCCACTGCCTCCAGCCTCCATCCCGCTGCAACATTCACAACCCATGGTTCATACCCATATACAAGTGTTGGTACTACTACCATACTCTTGTTTTATAACCGTTGTATATAATTATTTATGAATAACAACAGTGTTACAATACAGTAATGATTGTGTCAAAGATAGAGAATCAAACATCAATTTGTACAAGAATTCACAAGAGCTTACCATGTGTCCCATACAAGCAGTGAGGTAGCCACTGCCTGAACCAACATCCATGGCACGATTTCCTTTCTTAAGGTGGTTACTTAGCAATTCAAGGGCATGTGCATGCTGAAAATTTACAAATATTTTAAGACCAGGAATTTATTAAAAGAATAAATTATTTAATAGTTTTATTTTTAAATACACTGACTGCTCTCTTCTAAAGCAGAATGACCCCAAGGAGATTGCTAGCTTGATTGCTAGCACACTCAGCTCACACACTGAGGTTCGGAGATTGAATCCCCGGTACAGCTAGAAAACATAGGACGCATTTCTTTAAGACACCTGCTGTCCATGTTCACCCATCAGTATAATGGGTACCTGGGTGTTAGTTGACTGGTGTGGGTCACATCCTGGAACAAACTGACCTAATTTGCCTGAAATGTTCTGCATAACAAGCGGCTTTCTATACAGTAGTATGTCATTAATGTCAGCTAGGCCTGTATACCTTGTACATGTACTTGTAGAAATAAAGATATTATTATTATCATTTGTTCCACAGCTGTCTTTCCAGAATGGTACAAACATGTTCTAATGCTGACCCACTGAACTGAAACATCTCCAACCTACTTATAAACTGAAAACACATCAAAAGATGATGTTGAGAATGGACTTACTTATGTTATAAATGTATAAATGCATACTAAATTGTCTGTTAGAAATTAGTAATAAATATCAGTGTAATCTAGAAAAGGCACTAAACCTTATTCATATTACTATAGAACAGACACTGAACCTTATTCATAGTAGTAATAATTTGAATGTTCCAAAGACATAGTAATGAGATAATATCCTATTAGAATAACCTAGCCTACTGGAAAGTAGGAGGGTCCTGAATAGGAAAGCTGACAAAGTCTAATCAATCACATTTAACTTACAATGCTCCTAAAGTCCATAAAATATACTACAGAATTAAAGCTAAAGTGAAATGCAAGCTTAAGAATGCTTAAAAAAAAAAAAAAAAAAACAACAAATTTTTTTTCCCCCAGTATCTGTGAATTATTCTCCATGGGGAAGTGGAACAGAATTCTTCCTCCGTAAGCCATGCGTGTTGTAAGAGGCGACTAAAATGCTGGGAGCAAGGGGCTAGTAACCCCTTCTCCTGTATATGTTACTAAATGTAAAAGGAGAAACTTTTGTTTTTCCTTTTGGGCCACCCCGCCTCGGTGGGATACTGCCGGTGTGTTGAAAGAAAGAATCTGAATTATGTATGATAATTCTGTTGGAGGCAGTGGAGATGTCCTGTCTAAGGGCAACGTGTGGTGTAAATATTATGCAGAAAATTCGGAGTGTGGAAATTAGGAGAAGGTGTGGAGTTAATAAAAGTATTAGTCAGAGGGCAGAAGAGGGGTTGTTGAGGTGGTTTGGTCATTTAGAGAGAATGGATCAAAGTAGAATGACATGGAAAGCATATAAATCTATAGGGGAAGGAAGGCGGGGTAGGGGTCGTCCTCGAAAGGGTTGGAGAGAGGGGGTAAAGGAGGTTTTGTGGGCAAGGGGCTTGGACTTCCAGCAAGCGTGCGTGAGCGTGTTAGATAGGAGTGAATGGAGACGAATGGTACTTGGGATCTGACGATCTGTTGGAGTGTGAGCAGGGTAATATTTAGTGAAGGGATTCAGGGAAACCGGTTATTTTCATATAGTCGGACTTGAGTCCTGGAAATGGGAAGTACAATGCCTGCACTTTAAAGGAGGGGTTTGGGATATTGGCAGTTTGGAGGGATATGTTGTGTATCTTTATATGTGTATGCTTCTAGACTGTTGTATTCTGAGCACCTCTGCAAAAACAGTGATAATGTGCGAGTGTGGTGAAAGTGTTGAATGATGATGAAAGTATTTTCTTTTTGGGGATTTTCTTTCTTTTTTTTGGGTCACCCTGCCTCGGTGGGAGACGGCTGACTTGTTGAGAGAAAAAAAAAAAAAAAAAAAATCTGTTCCTTGCTAAAGTTGTGACAATTTTTATAAAGGACAAACTATTAAACTTCTTAAGACCAAATTAAACAGATTAAATATCCTATAGCTAACATATCCTGTTTGGGACAGAATCCCCTCCCACTAGCCAACAGCAAGCCTGTGTCTATGTGGTCATCCATTCAATAAATAACTAGACTAATCCAGTGATCATGCCAATATGAATAGTAGGATGTTATGTTCATTTGGAAGCTAGGGAAAGAGAAGGGAAATAAATAATCAAAACAATGTAGGTTTTTCTAACACATTGGCCAAAATATTTTTGTGGTCGCTCTCATAACCTGGTCATCATGCCTCAATTATAGCAGATGCTCCTGCAGCCTGGCCAACACATGTCCTCAATTAAGATCATTATTTTAGAGTGCTATAATATCTTTGTAGCTTTTTTTTTTTTTTTTTTTTTTTCAACAAGTCGGCCGTCTCCCACCGAGGCAGGGTGACCCAAAAAAAAAAAAAAGAAAGAAAATCCCCAAAAAGAAAATACTTTCATCATCATTCAACACTTTCACCACACTCACACATTATCACTGCTTTTGCAGAGGTGCTCAGAATACAACAGTTTAGAAGCATATATGTATAGAGATACACAACATATCCCTCCAAACTGCCAATATCCCAAACCCCTCCTTTAAAGTGCAGGCATTGTACTTCCCATTTCCAGGACTCAAGTCCGACTATATGAAAATAACCGGTTTCCCTGAATCCCTTCACTAAATATTACCCTGCTCACACTCCAACAGATCGTCAGGTCCCAAGTATCATTCGTCTCCATTCACTCCTATCTAACACGCTCACGCACGCTTGCTGGAAGTCCAAGCCCCTCACCCACAAAACCTCCTTTACCCCCTCTTTCCAACCCTTTCGAGGACGACCCCTACCCCTCTTTCCTTCCCCTATAGATTTATATGCTTTCCATGTCATTTTACTTTGATCCATTCTCTCTAAATGACCAAACCACCTCAACAACCCCTCTTCTGCCCTCTGACTAATGCTTTTATTAACTCCACACCTTCTCCTAATTTCCACACTCCGAATTTTCTGCATAATATTTACACCACACATTGCCCTTAGACAGGACATCTCCACTGCCTCCAACCGTCTCCTCGCTGCTGCATTTACCACCCAAGCTTCACATCCATATAAGAGTGTTGGTACTACTATACTTTCATACATTCCCTTCTTTGCCTCCATAGATAACGTTTTTTGACTCCACATATACCTCAACGCACCACTCACCTTTTTTCCTCATAAATTCTATGATTAACCTCATCCTTCATAATCCATCCGCCGACACGTCAACTCCCAAGTATCTGAAAACATTCACTTCTTCCATACTCCTCCTCCCCAATTTGATACCCAATTTTTCTTTATCTAAATCATTTGATACCCTCATCACCTTACTCTTTTTATGTTCACTTTCAACTTTTCTACCTTTACACACATTCTCAAACTCATCCACTAACTTTTTTAATTTTTCTTTGGGAATCTCCCATAAGCACAGTATCACAGAAAAAAAGTAACTGTGTAAATTTCCCCATTTTGAATTTGATTCCCCATAATTTAATCCCACCCCTCTCCAAAACCCCCTAGCATTTACTTCTTTTACAACCCCATCTATAAATATATTAAACAACCATGGTGACATTACACTCCCTGTTAAGACTACTTTTACCGGGAAGAAATTCTCCCTCTCTTTTTACACACCCTAACCTGAGCCCCCACTATCCTCATAAAAGCTCTTTACAGCATTAGTAACTTACCACCTATTCCATATACTTGCAACATCTGCCAATTGTTTCCTCTATCCACTCTATCATATGCCTTTTCTAAATCCATAAATGAAATAAAAACTTCCCTACCTTTACTAAATACTGTCCAATATATTTTCAATGTAAAACACTTGATCTAACAAACCCCTACCCACTCTGAAGCCTCCTTGCTCGTCCGCCAATTCTACATTCTGTCTTCCTCTAATTTTTTCAATTATAACCCTACCGTTTTACTTTTCCGGTATACTCAGTAAACTTATTCCTCTATAATTTTACAATCTCTTTTTGTCCCCTTTCCCTTTATATAAAGGGACTATACAGCTCTCTGCCAATCCCTAGGTACCTTCCCCCCTTTCTACATTTATTAAACAAAAGTACCAACCACTCCAACACTTTATCCCCCTGCTTTTAACATTTCTGTCATGATCCATCAGTTCCCGCGCTTTACCCCCTTTCATTCTACGTAATGCCTCAGTACCTCCACCACACTTACATTCTGCTCTTCTTCACTCCCAAAAGATGGTATACCTCCCTGGCCAGTGCACGAAATTACTGCCTCCTTTCTTCCCTTAAAATTTAAAAGTTCCTCAAAATATTCTCGCCATCTACCTAATACCTCCCTCTCCCATCTATTAACTCCCCCACTCTGTTTTTTAAAATGACAAATCCATTTCTTTCCCTAGGCTTCCTTAACTTGTTTAACTCACTCCAAAATTTTTTTCTTATTTTCATAAAAATTTCTTGACAAATGCCTCCCACTCTTTCATCTGCTCTCCTTTTGCACTCTCTCACCACTCTCTTCACCTTTTTTTTACTCTCCATATACTCTGCTCTTTTTATAACACTTCTGCTTTTTAAAAACCTCTCGTAAGCTACCTTTTTCTCTTTTATCACCCTTTACTTCATCATTCCACCAATCACTCCCTTTCCTCGGCCCCCCACCCTCCTATAACCAAACTTCTGCCCACATTCTAATACTGCATTTTAAAACTATTCCAACCCTCTTCAACCCCCCCACTACTCCATCTTGGCACTACCCCACCTTTCTGCCAATAGTCGCTTATATCTCGCCCGGGAACTTCCCCCTCCCTTAGTTTATACCTTTCACCCCCCTCTTACTTGTTGTTGCACCTTCCTCTTTTCCCATCTACCTCTTACTCTAACTGTAGCTACAACTAAATAATGATCCCATATATCAGTTGGCCCCTCTATAAACATGTACATCCTGGAGCCTACCCATCAACCTTTTATCCACCCAAAACATAATCTAACAAACTACTTTCATTACGTGCTACATCATACCTTGTATATTTTTTTATCCTCTTTTTCATAAAAAATGTATTAAATTATTACCAAATTTCTTTCTACACATAGCTCAATTAAAGGCCCCTATTTACATTTACCCTGGCACCCCAAAATTACCTACTACTCCCCCCATAACATTTTTACCCACTTTAGCATTGAAATCCCCAACACCCATTACTCTCACACTTGATTCAAAAAATCCCCATGCATTTACTCAACATTTCCCCGAAATCTCTCTCTCTCCTCTTAATTCTCTCTTCTCCAGGTGCATACACGCTTACTATAAAACCCCCTTTTCACATCCAATCTTTATTTTACTCCACATAAATCCTTGAATTTATACATTTGTAGTCCCTCTTTTCCTGCCATAGCTTATCCTTCAACATTATTGCTACTCCTTCTTTAGCTCTAACTCTGTTTGAAACCCCTGACCTAATCCCATTTATTCCTCTCCATTGAAACTCTCCCACCCCCTTCAGCTTTGTTTCACTTAAAGCCAGGACATCCAGTTTCTTCTCATTCATAACATCCACAATCATCTCTTTCTTATCATTTGCACAACATCCACGCACATTCAGACTTCCCACTTTGACAATTTTCTTCTTCTTATTCTTTTTATTCTTTGTAGCTATCTAAAATAATTCACACATGTACAGTATGCAAATAGCCACTAACCATGTGAGGTGCACTGATAGTTACACCATAGCCAATGCCCTGTGGAGAATCCATGTAGGGATTGTGCTTGGAGTACAGGCCTCTGTCAACTCTCAACATGACGCGTTCCACTTCTGGAGTGCGGACAATCTGGTTTGCTGCAACACAGTAAAGGGGTTTCTTATTACAGTATAACTTTGCAAAAGATTATTATTATTACTGACATACTGCAGAATACACTAGACCCAAAAAGGTCATACAGGGTCTACAAAAGAATAACTATATGAGCACAACAAAGAAAACTGAAACAGATATTGTGATCCTTTACTGTTCCTTTTGCTGGTTCCAATAATTTTTTCCTTATATTTCTTTGAATACATTCAAGAACTTTAATTTTATATTTCACCCCCTCCCCATCCTCCCTTTTTTTTTTTTTTTTTTTTTTTTTGTTCCCAGAGCCTTCTGTCCTTTGTAATTCATGTCCTTGTTCTTTTGTTTCATGTCTTAATGTATGCATTTCTTTAAGTGAACATCATATGCTGGATGGTTCTGTGGGATTTGCATCCTGGAGGTGGGAAATATACTGCCTGCACTCCGAAGGAGATATTAGGATGTTATAGTTTAGAGGGTCATTTGAATTATGATGTCTGCACACTTTTGGCAAGATGGCTACTGAATGAATGATGGTGAATGCATTTCATATTTCTGGTCACTGTACCTTGGTGTGTTCTTTAAGATGTGTATAAATCTTAGTGAATAAAAAAAAAAGACAATCTAGTATAGTACAAAAAATATGTTAAACTATCCTCACCTTTCAAGTGCCTGACCATGTCAGCATTGTCTCGGCCATGAGATCTCCAAGCCATGATGGAGCGGAAACAAGTCTGTGAACACACTCCAACCACTAAAAACAGTCGCACAGCTCTGTGTTTTAGCATTCAGTGCCAGTGACTAATCTGAAAGTTATAATACAGTACTATACTTTGCAAAATAACAATTAGCAAAAATTCAGAACATATGAAACACAAGAATTTGAAATGCTTATTGATTCATAATATTTCCCCAAGTAAATTGCTTTTCTACTCTCCCATTTTTAGTAACGCTCTAACTTACAGCCCACTTTATTATTTTACAAGCCAAAGATATTGGACTGGTAGCAGACTGCCAAAATGTAAACAGCAATTGATGCGGCAAATGTTTGAAGAGTGCTGCACTATCATACATGTCATAGCTCTGCTCTTTCAATTTCCTTAAATGAGGTTAAACACTCATTTATGTAACCAAACCAATAAACTAGCTGCTACTGCACTGCCAAGTAAATAGGATTTAACAAACTTTAAAAAAAAAAAAACCAGCAACAGTCATCTTTATGCTGGTCAATGACTACAGCCTATTAGCGAAACAAACGAGATTCATTTCCAAATGGATAGATCTTTGAAACTTCCAAAGCACCATAATAAATTGGTTTACAGTGTCAGCTGAGGGGTTGGAAGTGATGACCACACACAACTTACCAATGCTTGGAGACAGTGCATCATTGGAAATGTATGATTTTCACCACAACATTTCACCCAGCAGATTGCTTTCCCACAAAAAAAAAAAAATGGCATGAGTCTTAAATGATGCATTGCATTGGCCTAATTAAAAAAAAAAGGTTTGGGCCACAGAAACTTCACCCAACTTCGTTGTCAATAACCTTTGAGAAACTAATTACAAAGCTGCCAGTAAACTAGCTGCCAGATTGGTCCACAATTCCTACGGTGCTGTACAGTGGACCCCCGCTTAACGATCACCTCCCAATGCGACCAATTATGTAAGTGTATTTATGTAAGTGCGTTTATACGTGTATGTTTGTGGGTCTGAAATGGACTAATCTACTTCACAATATTCCTTATGGGAACAAATTCGGTCAGTACTGGCACCTGAACATATTTCTGGAATGAAAAAATATCATTAACCGGGGGTCCACTGTATTTTATATTTTGACTATACGTAGTTTAAAACTACTACATATCAGAACTTGGGCATTATTTTACATTTTGCAATGTATATATCCTAAATACACCACAGAATACATATTGTTGTGCAAATTTTTATTTTAGAAGAAATTAGTTGGTTGTGCAGCATTTCCGAGCTAAGTTCCTGATCAGCCGGGCTGTGGCTCGTACGTTGGTTTGCGTGCAGCCAGCAGCAACAGCCTGGTTGATCAGGCTCTGATCCACCAGGAGGCCTGGTCACAGACCGGGCCGCGGGGGTGTTGACCCCCGGAACTCTCTCCAGGTAAACTCCAGGTAAGTGACAGTTAATATTGTCATGTTGTGTCCAGTTGAACATAAACCAAGACGCACAACTCCCGAGGAAGGAGTAAGGGCAAGTTAATTGTACTCACTTAATTGCGGTTGCAGGGGTCGAGACTCAGCTCCTGGCCCCACCTCTTCACTAAACGCTACTAGGTCCTCTCTCTCCCTGCTTCACGAGCTTTATCATACCTCATCTTAAAGCTATGTATGGTTTCTGCCTCTACTATTGTATACATATATGAATGTATGTACATATGTATGAATGTATAAATCAGTGTCATTAAAACATCATTTAAATGAGCTCAGTGAATAAGAGAAACCCCCCTAAAAAAAAAAATTACACGTACAATTAATAAAAAAAAACAGTTTCATTCGGTTAAATTTGATACGATTTTGTGTGTAAAATTTAAGATGAATCTTTGGTAAACCATAATGTACAGTATACAGAAATAATTACAATTTCTGTACAAGAAATTTGCATGTGAGCCTGAATAAGTAAGTTTATTTGGAAATAAATTTTCCCAATTGTGGATAATTACAATTGTCATTACAAAACTGTCATTGTATACAATACATAAAAGTCATATTTTATGATGAAAACCTAGAATATTCCACGAATTTTTAACAAATCACACAAGTCCCCATTTTGTCTAACTCATCTAAAGAAATTCTCCCTCAAAAAAATACAAAGTATATAATCCAAAATTCCCCAAAATAATATGTATATAATCCAAATTCCCCCAAAATACTATATACATAATCCAACTCCCCCCCCCCAAAAAAAAAAAAATCAAGTATATAATTCACCAAAATCCACAATTATTTTCATAAATTAACAAATTTTGCTGACTGCACACCAAAGAACAAAGACTCAGGATGATGTAGCACTGAAAAAGACATGAAAAACCATGCAAGAGCAGGGGAGGGGGGGTGTCACCCCTGCAATGAGCTGCAACATAAGCAACCTAGTGCAGCCCCCCCCCAAAAAAAAAAAAAAAAAGAATGCACTTGCAATGTCACCTCGACACTTTTCACAAGGGGAAAAATAATCTTTCCGAGTAACGTTCACCTTCAGAATAAAGACTGACCTGACCCTCGTGACCTCAGGGCTCCCCTGGTTGACCAAGCCCCAAAAACAAGTCTTGCCTAGGCCTAAATAAAGAGAAATAAGAGAGGCCACCACACCCGTGACTGCTGTTTACCTGATGTCCAGCTGATCGAACTGTCCGTGTCTCAACCCTTGCATCTTACTTATATATAAGTAAGTAAGTAAGTAAGTAAGTTTACTTAAGTACAGATACACATAAATACAGTTACATAAATTATCTTACATATCGACATATGTGTATTACCTCGTATAACTCAAAAAGTCGAACAAAGTCGCTTATTTCCATAGGGGTCCTTATAATATTATTTAGTAAGTTTACTTACATATAGATATACATAAATACAGTTCCACATATTATCCTACATAGCAATATGTGTGTAAATTACCAATGGATAATCTAAAAAAAAGTCAGAGTGACTTATTTCTGTTGGAGTCTTTGTAATATCTTATTATTTAAACCTTAAAAGTTAAAACAGCTAAGTAACTTATTGTAAGTATGTAAGTAAATTTATTTAGGTACAAGCAAACATAAGTACAAATATCATACCTAGTGTAAATTACCCAGGATAAACCAAAAAAATCAGGCAAAGTGACCTATTTCCATTGGGGGAATTGTCCAGTTGTTTCATTATTAAGTTATTCTGAGTTAATTTACTTACAATACACAAGACCACAGTAAAAGTTAACTTATACACGAGACCTTAATATACACTTATAAACTTAAGTATTTAGCAAGGACTCAGTGGAAATAAATAAATTTGTCAGACTTTTTTTTTAGGTTATTGTAGATAATTTATAATGTCATAATTGTACTTATGTGTATTTGTACCTAAATAATAATAATAATAATAATAATAATAATAATAATAATAATAATAATAATAATAATAATAATAATAATAATAATAATAATAATAATAATAATAATAATAATAATAATGGAAATAAATCACCTTTGCAAAGGCTGTACCTGTGATATTATCTGCCTGGACCTCCTCTTATACAACATTGCAAGCTCCTGATGATGTGCTGATTGCAACACGAAAGGCCTAGAGCTATCATTCAACTCCCCCTCGATGGTTGTTTTGCACCTATATATATATATATATATATATTATATATATATATATATATATATATATATATATATATATATATATATATGATTTACTAATAATAAAAAATATGAAAATAACTATTTATGTATAACTGAATAAACTTACCAAATAAGTCAATTTAACTTTTCCGAGTTATCATAAGTAATTTACACGTATATTGCTATGTGTAATAATTGATATAACTGTATTTACATGTATATATACCAGAATAAACTTACTTAGTAGTTAATTGTATCTAAATAAAGTCATATGCGAGGGTTGAGATAAGTTAAAGTTAGTGGAGGCGGGAGTGAGTCTGGTCTCTGAGTTACTTGTTATTTTCTTCATTAAATTAGGTTTGTCGTGTTTTTATTTCATTTTTATTTGCATCTTGTGATGGTGGATGTCATTTATCAGGTTGTTGAATATATCTGGACTATTGTATAGTGTAGCAACTGGTCTAAACTGAGGTTTTTGTCTATTTTTTGAAATACTTGGGATTTATGCCCACTCGGGGGACAATAATTATTTTTTTGTATATTGTTTTTTCTCAAGGGAATTAAAGTTTATTTAGGTACAGGTACACATAATTATACGTAGTAACGTGTGTAAATTACTAAGGATAACCCCAAAAAGTGATGCTGGCGAGGAGCTCTTGTTCCAGGAAATTGGATCAGACTTTCCCATTCCTTGGATCAAACCTGATTACCTTCTGTTTTCCAGGCATTGTATTAATAACTCCTACAAGCAATACTGTAGGCAGAGATAAATAATCATGGATTGTATTTAGGTTAAGTTAGGTATTCAACTTAGGTTGTTGTATGACTTGTGGGTTTAGCATATAAATAAATTACAGTAATAAATAATAATTAGGTTATCTTTCTTGCTATTTCTGTAATTATGCCATAACACTTAACACCTAAAGTCGGTACCTGACCAGCCGAGCTGTGGCTCGTACGTTGGATTGCGTGCAGCTAGCAGTAACAGCCTGGTTGATCAGGCTCTGATCCACCAGGAGGCCTGGTCACAGACTGGGCCACGGGGGCATTGACCCCCGGAACTCTCTCCAGGTAAACTCCAGTAAATATTAGATTTTAAGTTATTAACTATTTTCCACCTCACAGTGCTGTATGGTCCTTGTGGGTAACAAAAAAAGGCACAATACCGTGGCTGGAACGATACATAAATAACCCGCACATAAAAGAGAGAAGCTTACGATGACGTTTCGGTCCGACTTGGACCATTTACAAAGTCACTTTGTAAATGGTGTGACTTTGTAAATGGTCCAAGTCGGACCGAAACGTCGTCGTAAGCTTCTCTTGTTATGTGCGGGTTATTTGTGTATCCTTGTGGGTTTAGCACTTAGTTATGATTATAATATTAATGTTAACAACCTCAGTCACTCTGGCTCCTAAAATAAATATTTACCATACTGCAATTTACCTGGAGTTTACCTGGAGAGAGTTTCGGGGGTCAATGCCCCCGCGGCCCGGACTGTGACCGGGCCGGGGGCGCTGGGGGAGTTGAATGATAGCTCTAGGCCTTTCATGTTGCAGTCAACACATTATCAGGACCTTGCAATGTTGCAGAAATGGGTAGGAAGTTGAGGTAACTTTGTTCAGGAAAGACTAATGGAGAGTATTACATATTATATAATCATGGGGGAGTGCTAAACCCATAGGATTATACAGTGCATGTGAGGGGGGGGTGATGGAAGGTATTTAGGCTTAATTCAGGGAACCAGAGCACAGATCCAGTTCCCTAGATCAAGAGCCCCTCACCAGTGTCAAGGAACCTCCTTGAGGGGACTCTTCTGGAGAGAGTTGTTTCCCTAAACAAGTTTACCTGAACTTCTACTCATTATTTCTTACACTTCTTCTCAAATTCCTCCATTATATATTTGCAACTTCCTTTCAGAATTTAACAAAAGAACGGCTTTGGCAATGAGGAGCTGCCAGCATACTACTGGGAATAAATAGGCCCAAAAACTAATGTATTGGCATGATATGTCAGTGTAATGTTCAAAATAAAAATAGGTTAAGTTAAGATAAGGTTTATAATTGGTAAAGATTAGAAATAGAATTTATTTGCTTTGTGATTTTCTCAGTTGATGAAAATTGACAAGAGCTTTGTACATATTTTTCAGGGCTTTCACAGAAGAGTCCACAGAAGATGTCCACTTCAGGTGGGAAAATGCAACCTACAATTTCAAAATTTTTTGCATCTGTTAAAAAAGATGGAAAGGCCAAATTTGATACTGATGAAGAAAAGAAACAAAATCATACCAGCAAAGTAGCTGAGGTAATATAGAGTATTTGATGCATAATGTACAGGATTAAAAGATGTACTAACATAGTCTTTTATTTCCTATTTAAGTAACTTCCATTAATTTTGAGGAATAAGCTATAGTGCTGTGGCTGCACTAGTAACTCACAGTTTGGAGTAGAATCTTGCACCAAAATGTCATTTGAAGATTTCTCTCCAAATTGTGGATTAATAGTGAATTGAACCAAGAAGGCGCTGGACAGACACCTAAGTCAGTACCTGACTAGCCGGGCTGTGGTTCGTATGTCAGTTTGCTTTTGGCCAGCAGTAACAGCCTGGTTGATCAGACCCTGATACACCATGAGGCCTGGTCTTAGACCAAGCCATGGGGGTGTTGACCCCCAAAACCCAAAAAAACTCCAGGTAAGTTATAGTTACTCTTAACAGAACAGTTACCCATGGAAACACTATCTGAAATACATTAATTAAGGTTAACTTATTTCAGAGTGCTGGTTCTTGTATGTCAACACTCACTGAAATTCCATTTGGTGTTCTGATTTTTTTTATGTGTATATTCTTTGTGCTTTTCTAGCATTTCTTTCATTCTACTTTCTTATATTGTCTATCAGGGTTTGATACCATACAGAAGTATTGCTTGTGCACTTATTTACATGTAATAAGTTATAAGGCAGTTAGGATTTCCTTTTGAGAGCAGAACATGTTGAAGTGTAATAATCACTAATTCTCTGTCATAGTACCTTTTTTTTTTAGTAAAGCTAAATATTTTTTCAGGTTAGCATATCTCCAGCTATTAAGCGAGCGAAGACCCATACCTACATAAATGGATCATCTAAAAAAGCCAAAAAAGAAAATAGTGATAGTGGACTTTGCAGCTCACCAGAGGCAGAGGGCAGTACAGCTCCCAAGAAAAAATCTCCCACATCATGGACCAAAAACAGACTTCAGTCTTTTTCGTGTGGTATGTTTATATTGTGAAGTTAATGAATAGCACCTGTAGATTATTTGGATATAACAGAAAGGAGAGTTGATTTCCTGATAGACTGAGGTTAACAGATGTGTTTTGAAATTCAGTATGTATGTATATGTGAAAAAAGACTATTATGTGCAGTTCAGGACATTTATTAAAGGAAACAGTTTGCCATGAGTGGCGTCTTCAGTCCTAATACAGAGATAACTGAGAAACGAGATCATATAGTAGCAAGAGTTGGGTGGAAAGCCACGAGGGTGGTAGTAGTAGTAGTAGTAGTAGTAGTACAGTTGTGGTGAGATAGGTTGGGTTTGAGAAGGACTTGTCAACAGCATGTTACATCGGTCTCCAGAATGGGTAGTATCCTGTTGATTAACATTTTGGTTATAGTGTAATTTCCAGGCTTTTGATGGATAATGTTACTGGCAGCTTATATACATTTTTGTTGTCTTAAATCATCTTTCTGTACTTAAGTGCCTTTCTACACATCTCAGTATCACCACACCATTTCACAGTATGTAGTAGAGTACTAGGAAAATACAAATGTTGTATAAAAAAGAATTGATTATACAATAGTTTTATTTAATCATTTCTATATGCTCAAAAGAATAACTAAACATGTACAACAACTTCCTGGAAAGTAACTACACATGCATGTTCTATGTTAAATATTTTTTTAAACACACTGGCTTTCTTCCACCAAGGTAGGGTAACCTAGCTGTCTTGCCAGAAGTTTGCAGTCATCACAATACAAATACAAATGTTGGAACTGGTATGGAGCTAGCAACAAGTTGTAAGTAAAAGACACATGCACTGATCCAGGCATTTATTAAGGAAATGTGGTGGTTGTGTAGTGGAGGTAGCCCTTGTATAGTTGGTGTGATAGTCATGTAGTCTAGTGGGTATTCAGGATTGTGAGATGTTTAATAAATAAGTTTACTGGTCTGACCATCCTTAATGTAATGCGACCAACAGTGATAATAGCACATTCATTATTTTCACTGATTGCATAGACAGTAGTATAAATCTCATGTTCCTTCTGCTGGGAATCGAACCAGGCCATTGCGAGTGAACTGAGGCACCCCAGTAACCAAGATAAGTTAGATTTCATGTCTTTTTTTTTTTTACTAAATGAGTGAAAATGGAATGTTTAATCAAGATACACTTGTAAACCATTAAAGATAAGTTCAACCCAGTATTAAAACAAGTTGAAAATATTTTTGTGTAATTTTTTATTTTTTTCAGATAAGTTGGGATGAATAAATGACTCTTGTAACCCATATTGTCAAGTCAGACTATTTAAAACAAATTGAAAACTTAGTGTCATTAAATGCTTTTTAGATAATCTTCATATATGACCTTAGACTTATATTAGGTGCGAGATGTTCAACACAAATTAACTAATGATCATTAAATGCGTTTGGACAAAACAATTTGAATGAATGATAGTGAATGCACTTCCTCTTTTATGGGTTGCCCTACTTCAGTAGGGGATGGCTGGTGTGTTGAAATAAACAAGTACAATACAGATTTTTTTTTAACACGGTCATTTCTCCTCATAATAATTTAACAAATTTCAAAAATTCAGCAAAACTCCTGACTTTCCTTAAGTTTTGAATCCTATCTACAGGTCAGTTATTTCTACCCAAGTTTTGACATTCATTTTCCCCTCCTCACAAAATTCACTATTGTTAACATAAAGGAATAGAAGAGCAGCAGTTTGGGAACTGCATAACATCTCTGAACTTGTCACAAATACGTATCTTAGAGATTAACGGTTTATCCAAACGCACTCCAGAAATATCCCTCTTACCCTTTTATGCTCACAGAGTGCTTATTGCTCTCTAGTAACAGCAGCAGTTTGGGAACCTTAATCCTATTGGTGTTATGACAATGTTATTTGTTACTTATGTATTTATAATATTAACCAGAAAACTTTACCAAAATGCCATTAATGTAAAACTGCTTGGTTACATAAAGAGAGGAAAATTTCTTTATAGATAGTATTAGTTAAGGTAAAACCAGTTTTGCCTTCAACAAAATTTCAACTCTCCTTACAAATGTATACCTAATTCTCAGCTATAGTAACTGAAGGAAAGACAGGTACTACTAACAAATTTTGCTAGTCAGTGATTAGTCTTTAGTATTTACTTAAGACTACAAATGCTATTTTTTTACACAGTTTAATTTCAGTTTAAAATGTTATAATCTTGCCAGGTCACAAAATTCCAGTAATACCACAGTGGACAACACTGTCAGTCAGCCAGCAGAATCTGCTTCACTTAAGCCAGGACGTATGAAAGCGTTACCAGGAATGAAACTCACTCCGCTAGAGCAACAAGTTGTAGCCATAAAGAATAAGCAACCAGATGTTGTTCTTTTTGTGGAGTGTGGATACAAATATAGGTAGGTTTTATCTGACTTTTAATGAGATTTGGCTGTTTGTGTTAAATATTTTTATTTGATAACTGCAGCTTGCATAAAAAGAGAAATGAATTTCAAGCCATAAAGGTACCTTTTAATTCCAAACAAACTACTGTACAGTTGCTAGAATAGCTAGCTTTCTGAGTTAAGATTTTTATAAGATGAAACACTTTTCACCATCATTTGACAGTAATGGTATAAATAATGGTGAAAGTTTTTATTTTTTATTTTTTTTGGGTCATCCTACCTCGGTAGCTGCCAATGTGTTTAAAAAAAAATTATAATGTGAAATTTTAATTTTACTCGATAAGGTTTGATAACTTCAGGTTTTTTGGAAACGATGCAGAAATTGCTGCCAAGGAGCTGAATATTATTGCACATCTAGATCATAGCTTCATGACTGCAAGCATTCCCACTCACCGCCTCCATGTACATGTCCGAAGACTTGTTGCGAAAGGTATGCTTTCCAGTTTTCTAACTTTAATCACAAGTAATCTTTTGTAAATTAGCTTTGTTTCTGTTCTTATACCTTTATTAGTGTTACAGGAGGAGAGTTCAATTTAAAACCCAAATTTTTATTTCCCTGCAGGTTATAAAGTTGGAGTTGTAAAACAAACAGAAACTGCAGCTCTGAAAGCAGCGGGTAGCAATAAAAGTGCACCATTTGAACGTGAACTTACAGCATTATATACGCGCTCTACACTTATCGGTGAAGATGTAACGCCTGCAGCAGGGGCAGAAGGTGTTGGCGATGGGGACCTTGCAGAAGGAGCAACAGCAATGCTGCTGGTAGTACATGAAGGCAAAAGTTCCTCTGGAAAGGAAGGCACAATTGGTATTTCAGTTATTGTAAGTATAGTTGCAGTCTTAAAAGTAAAGACATGAGAAATTTAGCCTATTTTTCCTCCATTTTTATCCATTCAGCTCTCAGCCTTTGATGAGTTCTTCAGTTCTGTCCTTTTTTGGTCTATTTCAAGTCCTGCCTATTCTTCAGCATTTTCTAGGGATGGCATATTTACTGTACAGTGGACCCCTGGTTTATGATCAGCTCCCAATGCGACCAATTATGTAAGTGTATTTATGTAAGTGTGTTTGTATGTGTATGTTTGGGGGTCTGAAATGAACTAATCTAATTCACAATATTCCTTATGGGAACAAATTCGGTCAGTACTGGCACCTGAACATACTTCTGGAATGAAATAATATCGTAAACGGGGGTCCACTGTATATGGCACTCACTGAAGGCCAACTTCACTGTGCTTTTATTTTTTTTACCTAGGTTGGAGTAGTATACTTCACAGCCCAGTACTGTTTCCCTACTCCTTCTCTTACAGTGCACTAGACATTTAGACTAACATTTTAAAAAGTATGGTGTAAATGCTCCTTTCTTTTTTCAGTGCTAGTCCTAATTATTAATGACATCTAACAAATGGAGTGTCAGATTATTCTCTGTAAATATTCTCAGTTACTATACAGTGACAAATATGGAATACCATACTCTGAAAATAAACTAGGAAAATTTATATTTTATTGAATGTTAAACTCATTAATAATATTGAGGGAGTTAAAGTACAAGAGGCCCTCATTCATACAGCTATCATTATGGTGCCAGTTATCCTTTCCTTATGCAACTGTTGTGCAAAAATAGTGATAACAGCAGAGCAGTGGTAAAAGCACTGAGCATAATGAACAGTGGTTCAATTGAAAGCCAACAAAAATGTGGAACACTGAAAAGAGGTTCAGTATACATGGAGCTCTTCATTGCAGTACAGGTTACAGTTTTCTTTTTTATCATTTTCTAACAAATTGAATTAGGTAAGTTTTGTCATTTAATTTTTTCTTACATTATTAGGCCGTCCAACCAAGTACTGGAGATATTATATACGACACTTTTGATGATTCGTCTACAAGGACAGAACTTTGGTGTCATTTGGACCATATTCAGCCCGTTGAAGCTTTAGTATCTAACAATATATCTGATATCACAGTTCGAGCCATAACAGCAGCTACCACAAAGTAAGTGTAATTATAATTTGTGTATTGCTTTGACACAGATTCTTACACCCAGTTATGAAGGCATGTTAGTGTGGCTTTGTTTTTCAGTATTCATTTTTTTTCACAGTGTTCATACAATGTTAAAAATTAAAATTTATTATAAACATTGTAGTCATTGTATCTGTGAAAATTATTTAAAATTCCTATTGTATCTTAATTTTGTTTTTAATATTTCCATATCTTTGCTTTTAGAAATGAAGACTGCATTCGAATTGAGAGGTTGGACGAGGCAAAGTTTGAGTATTCAGAATCTTTAAAACGTGTATGTGAGTTATTTGCTGGTGAGGAAGAAAAGATTAAGCATATATCAGGACTGCCGTCAGATGTTGTCAGCTGCCTTGGGGCAGCTCTTCAGTATCTTGCTGAGTTCAAACTAGACCGTATAATCAAAATGGCTGGGTATGTTGGAAGTAGTGTCTCTTTCTTTTTCTATCTCTTTCTCTTTCTATCTCTTTTTCTCTCTATCTTTTCATTTCTTTTCCTTTCTCTTTTTCTTTCCCTTTTACTTTCTCTTTCTCTTTCATTTTCTTTTTTTCTTTCCTTTTTTCTCTCATTTTCTTTTTCCTTTTCTGTTTCTTTCTTTCATTTCCTCTTTCTTTCTCTTTGTTGATATCTTAAGATATATTTTCTTTTATAGCAACTTTTGCCTTATTGAGATATTTAAACTATAAATTAGGGAGGACAACATTGTGAAAACTCTTTCTCTTTATTTACTTTACAGATCAGTTTGTAGGTATAGCTCAAGCAGCAATTACATGAGACTTTCAGGTGCCACCCTGCGTAACCTGGAGGTGCTGACCAATGCTGTTGATGGTGGGATAACAGGCAGCTTGTTGTGGGCTCTTGATAAAACACAAACCAAGTTTGGTTCTAGGTCAGTTTTCTCATAAAATGTCTGGTTAATGCTTGTAAGTTGAATTTAATGCTGAAAAATAGCTGTTTTACATGTTTTATAGTTTTTGAGTCAGTTTTTCATTTGTGTCAAGTATTTTTCTTTTCATGTTTTACAGTAGGCCAACCAGTTGGAAATTTTTGTTTAGTTATTACCCAACAATGTTTGTTTAAGTTCAGTAGTAATTAACTAATAAGATTTCATAAGTAATCATTTGATTATCTAATTAATATGTTCATTACACTTTTATTTGCACATTTCTTCATCCTTTTAGACTCCTTCGTCGGTGGATAATTCAGCCATTATTAAACATCGAAGAGATTAAGGAACGCCAGGATATGATTGAGGAGTTGATGATCTCTGATGCTCCTGTTTTAAATAAACTGAAGAGTTTACTCTGTAAACTGCCAGATTTTGAGAGAGCTCTAACAACCATTTTTCATAAAAAGGTATTACACAATAGTTTGTATTATTACAGTAATATTCCAGGGTCATGAAATTGGTTGTCTGTCTTAAATTTAAGATTTTTATTATACTGTATTGTGTTTGTAAAGTGATTTAATTTTTGTAGGCAACTGTTGTGGTGATTGGCATGTTATTTATACAGCTAGGCAAAGCACATAATTATTTCACTTTTAAACACTTTAACACTTTGTGGTTAGATCCTAAAAATGTGAAGGTAGCATGCAAAAAAAAATAAGCATAGAATTTGTGTACAGTGATTTGATGTGCTTTATTATACACATGTACTCATTGTCTTGGCATCAGTCAGATTGTTACATTGCAGAAGGGACACTGGAATGGGAAATCTTTATTTTTTTTAGTTCATTGGCTATCTCCTGCCAAGGCAGGGTGATCCAAAGAAGAAAGCACATTCACCATCATTCACTCACTCATTATCTTTCCAAAAGTGTGCTGAAATAGTTCGGTAGATTGCTTTATGGTACTCCCTACAAGAGAGGTACCCTGATGATAAAGGGTTCTTGATCCAAGGAATTAGACCCATCTTTTTTCTTGTATCAAACCTGATTTCCTCCCATTTCCCCATGAGCTGTGTGACCCGTATGGTTTAATTCTCTCTCCATGATTTTTTTTTTTTTTCAACAAGTCGGCCGTCTCCCACCGAGGCAGGGTGACCCAAACAAGAAAGAAAATCCCCAAAAAGAAAATACTTTCATCATCATTCAACACTTTCACCACACTCACACATTATCACTGTTTTTGCAGAGTTGCTCAGAATACAACAGTTTAGAAGCATACACATATAAAGATACACAACATATCCCTCCAAACTGCCAATATCCCAAACCCCTCCTTTAAAGTGCAGGCATTGTACTTCCCATTTCCAGGACTCAAGTCCGACTATATGAAAATAACCGGTTTCCCTGAATCCCTTCACTAAATATTACCCTGCTCACACTCCAACAGATCGTCAGGTCCCAAGTACCATTTGTCTCCATTCACTCCTATCTAACACGCTCACGCACGCTTGCTGGAAGTCCAAGCCCTCGCCCACAAAACCTCCTTACCCCTTTTCCAACCCTTTCAAGGCGACCCCTACCCCGCCTTCTTCCCCTATAGATTTATATGCTTTCCATGTCATTCTACTTTGATCCATTCTCTCTAAATGACAAAACCACCTCAACAACCCCTCTTCTGCCCTCTGACTAATACTTTTATTAACTCCACACCTTCTCCTAATTTCCACACTCCGAATTTTCTGCATAATATTTACACCACACATTGCCCTTAAACAGGACATCTCCACTGCCTCCAACCATCTCCTCGCTGCTGCATTTACCACCCAAGCTTCACACCCATATAAGAGTGTTGGTACTACTATACTTTCATACATTCCCTTCTTTGCCTCCATAGATAACGTTTTTTGACTCCACATATACCTCAACGCACCACTCACCTTTTTTCCCTCATCAATTCCATGAATGTAATAATAATTTTACCTTGTGGCATGGCTATGTAAATATTACTTAATAAAGATACATTATTGTATGCAGGCCAAAAATTTAAAGTGTGATATTGTTTTTATTGTGATCTAGAATTGTCTTTTCCTTGTAAATGTTAATTATAATTATGTTGGAAGGATTCATATTGGTTGATTGACGTGGGTGTTACAATACTATTTTTTCCATACAGCTACTAAATGTATCCTCATTTTTGTTACAGTGCAGTCCTCATGAATTCTGGCTGGCTGTGGAAGGACTAAGTCAGGTTCAGGCAGGATTATCAAGAGTCAGTGGCAATATAGATGACAGTGTTAAGACTCCTGGACTGATATCCCTGCTACAAGAAGTTCTTGATGGCCTTCTTAATGTTGAAGCATTTGCTAGTAACATTAATGAAGTCAGTGCCAGGTAAAAATAAAAATTCTTATACAACATTTTAAACATCCCAAAGAAGCAAATTTGATACGTTTAGAATTAATTGTGAAATGTAATTGTGATGTTAGAACTTTTCACTTCATATTCTTTGAGCTTACTCCACTTCTTCATATTTGAACCTTTTCACTGCCCTCAGGTCAGAACACTCACCTCTTTTTAAAACTACTACTGTGACTACAATTGGTATTTTTCACATCTGTTTTACTGCAACTACTATTATTTTTGTACGGCTTCTACTGTGGTGACTACACTGATGAGTACTACAACTTCTGTTGGGTTTTGCATAGGATTATTAAATCATATGCAAACATACTCATGTATCTCTCTATTCTTTCTGGCAAGGTGGTTGTTTTTTTTTTTTTTTTATTATCACACCGGCCGATTCCCACCAAGGCAGGGTGGCCCGAAAAAGAAAAACTTTCACCATCATTCACTCCATCACTGTCTTGCCAGAAGGGTGCTTTACACTACAGTTTTTAAACTGCAACATTAACACCCCTCCTTCAGAGTGCAGGCACTGTACTTCCCATCTCCAGGACTCAAGTCCGGCCTGCCGGTTTCCCTGAATCCCTTCATAAATGTTACTTTGCTCACACTCCAACAGCACGTCAAGTATTAAAAACCATTTGTCTCCATTCACTCCTATCAAACACGCTCACGCATGCCTGCTGGAAGTCCAAGCCCCTCGCACACAAAACCTCCTTTACCCCCTCCCTCCAACCCTTCTAGGCCGACCCCTACCCCGCCTTCCTTCCACTACAGACTGATACACTCTTGAAGTCATTCTGTTTCGCTCCATTCTCTCTACATGTCCGAACCACCTCAACAACCCTTCCTCAGCCCTCTGGACAACAGTTTTGGTAACCCCGCACCTCCTCCTAACTTCCAAACTACGAATTCTCTGCATTTTATTTACACCACACATTGCCCTCAGACATGACATCTCCACTGCCTCCAGCCTTCTCCTCGCTGCAACATTCATCACCCACGCTTCACAACCCATATAAGAGCGTTGGTAAAACTATACTCTCATACATTCCCCTCTTTGCCTCCAAGGACAAAGTTCTTTGTCTCCACAGACTCCTAAGTGCACCACTCACTCTTTTTCCCTCATCAATTCTATGATTCACCTCATCTTTCATAGACCCATCCGCTGACACGTCCACTCCCAAATATCTGAATACGTTCACCTCCTCCATACTCTCTCCCTCCAATCTGATATTCAATCTTTCATCACCTATCTTTTTGTTATCCTCATAACCTTACTCTTTCCTGTATTCACCTTTAATTTTCTTCTTTTGCACACCCTACCAAATTCATCCACCAATCTCTGCAACTTCTCTTCAGAATCTCCCAAGAGCACAGTGTCATCAGCAAAGAGCAGCTGTGACAAACTCCCACTTTGTGTGTGATTCTTTATCTTTTAACTCCACGCCTCTTGCCAAGACCCTCGCATTTACTTCTCTTACAACCCCATCTATAAATATATTAAACAACCACGGTGACATCACACATCCTTGTCTAAGGCCTACTTTTACTGGGAAAAAATTTCCCTCTTTCCTACATACTCTAACTTGAGCCTCACTATCCTCGTAAAAACTCTTCACTGCTTTCAGTAACCTACCTCCTACACCATACACTTGCAACATCTGCCACATTGCCCCCTATCCACCTGTCATACGCCTTTTCCAAATCCATAAATGCCACAAAGACCTCTTTAGCCTTATCTAAATACTGTTCACTTATATGTTTCACTGTAAACACCTGGTCCACACACCCCCTACCTTTCCTAAAGCCTCCTTGTTCATCTGCTATCCTATTCTCCGTCTTACTCTTAATTCTTTCAATTATAACTCTACCATACACTTTACCAGGTACACTCAACAGACTTATCCCCCTATAATTTTTGCACTCTCTTTTATCCCCTTTGCCTTTATACAAGGAACTATGCATGCTCTCTGCCAATCCCTAGGTACCTTACCCTCTTCCATACATTTATTAAATAATTGCACCAACCACTCCAAACTATATCCCCACCTGCTTTTAACATTTCTATCTTTATCCATCAATCCCGGCTGCCTTACCCCCTTTCAATTTTACCTACTGCCTCACGAACTTCCCCCACACTCACAACTGGCTCTTCCTCACTCCTACAAGATGTTATTCCTCCTTGCCCTATACACGAAATCACAGCTTCCCTATCTTCATCAACATTTAACAATTCCTCAAAATATTCCTTCCATCTTCCCAATACCTCTAACTCTCCATTTAATAACTCTCCTCTCCTATTTTTTAACTGACAAATCCATTTGTTCTCTAGGCTTTCTTAACTTGTTAATCTCACTCCAAAAACTTTTTCTTATTTTTCAACAAAATTTGTTGATAACATCTCACCCACTCTCTCATTTGCTCTCTTTTTACATTGCTTCACCACTCTCTTAACTTCTCTCTTTTTCTCCATATACTCTTCCCTCCTTGCATCACTTCTACTTTGTAAAAACTTCTCATATGCTAACTTTTTCTCCCTTACTACTCTCTTTACATCATCATTCCACCAATCGCTCCTCTTCCCTCCTGCACCCACTTTCCTGTAACCACAAACTTCTGCTGAACACTCTAAACACTACATTTTTAAACCTACCCCATACCTCTTCGACCCCATTGCCTATGCTCTCATTAGCCCATCTATCCTCCAATAGCTGTTTATATCTTACCCTAAACTGCCTCCTCTTTTAGTTTATAAAACCTTTACCTCTCTCTTCCCTGATGCTTCTATTCTCCTTGTATCCCATCTACCTTTTACTCTCAGTGTAGCTACAACTAGAAAGTGATCTGATATATCTGTGGCCCCTCTATAAACATGTACATCCTGAAGTCTACTCAACAGTCTTTTATCTACCAATACATAATCCAACAAACTACTGTCATTTCGCCCTACATCATATCGTGTATACTTATTTATCCTCTTTTCTTAAAAATGTATTACCTATAACTAAACCCCTTTCTTATACAAAGTTCAATCAAAGGGCTCCCATTATCATTTACACCTGGCACCCAAACTTACCTACCACACCCTCTCTAAAAGTTTCTCCTACTTTAGCATTCAAGTCCCCTACCACAATTACTCTCTCACTTGGTTCAAAAGGCTCCTATACATTCACTTAACATCTCCCAAAATCCTCTCTCTCCTCTGCATTCCTCTCTTCTCCAGGTGCATACACGCTTATTATGACCCACTTCTCGCATCCAACCTTTACTTTAATCCACATAATTCTGAATTTACACATTCATATTCTCTTTCTCCTTCCATAACTGATCATTTAACATTACTGCTACCCCTTCCTTTGCTCTAACTCTCTCAGATACTCCAGATTTAATCCCATTTATTTCCCCCCACTGAAACTCTCCTACCCCCTTCAGCTTTGTTTCGCTTAGGGCCAGGACATCCAACTTCTTTTCATTCATAACATCAGCAATCATCTGTTTCTTGTCATCCGCACTACATCCACGCACATTTAAGCAACCCAGTTTTATAAAGTTTTTCTTCTTCTCTTTTTTTAGTAATTGTATACAGGAGAAGGGGTTACTAGCCCATTGCTCCCGGCATTTTAGTCGCCTCATACGACACGCATGGCTTACGGAGGAAAGATTCTTTTCCACTTCCCCATGGACAATAGAAGAAATAAAAAAGAACAAGAGCTATTTAGAAAAAGGAGAAAAACCTAGATGTATGTATATATATATATGCATGTGCGTGTCTATGAAGTGTGACCAAAGTGTAAGTAGGAGTAGCAAGATATCCCTGTTATCTTAGCGTGTTTATGAGACAGAAAAGGAAACCAGTGGTTGTATAAATTATAAATATTAATGGGGCAAACACAGATCCTTGTGGCACCCTGCAGGTAACTATTTTTTTTTAATGCCAGATGTCTCCCACCTAGGTAGGCTGACCCAAAGTGGAAGCACATTCATTATCGTTCATTCAACATCTGTTTTGCTGGAAGTGTGCAAACATCACAGTTCAAGGGACCCTCTGAACTGTAACTTGCAGGTCTTATACATGCAACATACAGTATTTTCCGGCTTATAAGGCACACTGTTTTTCCCCAAAAAATCACCCTGCACCTTATATGCTCAAGGTCAAGCTCAACGGTAGGCTTTGGGTTGTGCTCTAGCAGTTGTTTACTAACATTATTACAACTGCTTGGAAACATCATGCCAGCAAGCACCATATATGACAGAAAATACAGTATTTTGCATGCACAATACCTGTGGCTCCTCCAGCATTATGGTCAGTGATAATAAATGGATTGGCTGCTCCTGACTTTTGTGTCAAGTCTATGACCTTCTCTTGAAGTTATGTATTTCTGTATGTCCTCAAACTGTTCATGTAGAGCTGGAAGGTATAGCCACCTCCCAGTAGAACATGTACCATTATCAACTTATCATTTCTATAATGCATTTGAAGGTTAGTGTGTGAGGGAATCCACATACTTTTGTGTCTCATAGAGATAAAATATTCAAGGATACTACTACAGTAACTGACAATTTGGGTGCAGAAAGTACTGTAAAGCAAACAATTTAACTTGGAATATGGAAGTTAATTATTTTTATGGGCAATTATAGATCAGTTTTGCAGTGAATCATCATTCTGTAAGAGAGACAAGTCTTGCAGTAAATAAGTTAGTGTGTGAGAATGTTAGTGAATGGAGACAAATGGTTTTTGGGACTTGACAGGCTGTTGGAGTGTGAGCAGGGTAACATTTTGTGAAGGGATTCAAGAAAACCAGTTAGCTGGAGCTAGAGTCCTGGAGGTGGGGTAGTACATGCCTGCACTTTACAAGAGGGGCGTGGGATATTGGCTGTTTGGGGTGAGAGCTGAGCTGTCGTATTTGTGCGCCTCTGGCATGACAGTGATAGTGTAAATGATGGTGAAAATGATTCTTTCTTTTTTGGGTCACCCTGCCTCGATTGGAAACAGCCAGTGTGTTGAAAAAAAAATAATAGGAGATTTGAAACTGGTTAGCCAGAGTTGAGTCCCAGAGGAGAGAAGTACAGTGCTTGCACTTTAAAGGAGGGGGTTTGGATATTTGCTGTTTAGAGGGACATCTAAACTGTTGTATCTGTGTGCCTGTGGCAAGACGGTGATCGTGTGAATGATGGTGAAATTGTTTCTCTTTCGGGTCACCCTGCCTCAGTAGGAGTTGTCCAGCATGTTAAAAAGATCATTTTTGCAGTTAAGATAGGAGTTTATTGGAGTTGGGTCATAATTGGTAATAGGACATTTGCATTGGAGATTCAAGTGGTCATGTGACTTTTATGGTTCATGTTATAATTTTCAAATATTATGGATGGTTTTTGGGACCTGACAGGTTGTTTTAAAGGAAGGGTTTGGGATATTGGCTGTTTGGAGTGACATCGAAACTGTCATATCTTGGTGCTGCTACAAAGACAATGATTTTGTGTGAGTGATGGTGAAAATGTTCCTTTTTTCTCAGGTCACCCTGCCTCAGTGGGAGATGGCTGTCATGTTGGAAAAAACAACTATATACTAGCCATGTGTGTCATAAGAAGCCACTGAAATGCTGGGAGCAAGGGGCTAGTAACCCCTTCTTTAAAGGAGGGGTTTGGGATATTGGCAGTTTGGAGGGATATGTTGTGTATCTTTATACGTATATGCTTCTAAACTGTTGTATTCTGAGCACCTCTGCAAAAACAGTGATTATGTCTGAGTGTGGTGAAAGTGTTGAATGATGATGAAAGCATTTTCTTTTTGGGGATTTTCTTTCTTTTTTGGGTCACCTTGCCTCGGTGGGAGACGACCGACTTGTTGAAAAAAAAATTATATTTTTTTTTTTTTTTTTTTTTTTTTTTTTTTAAGGTCACCCTGCCTCAGTGGGATACGGCCAGTTTGTTGAAAGAAAAAAAATATACAGTGCTAGTTATATTTGGGCTCTTATAGATATGGTTTACTTAGCATTGATGACTTGGTCTTTTAATCTTAATTTGCTTTTTTTTTCAATGTTTTATTTGCAGAGAAGGAAAAAAAACGAGTCTCTTCAAAGATTTCTCCGAATTTCCTGAAGTTGTAAAGAAGCAACAGGAAATAGCTGATGTGGAACAAGAACTTAACAGTCTTAAACCAGAAATTTCCAAGGTATGTAGAGCAGTTTTAAAGAAAGATGTGAAAGCTTCATAATTCGTCAAACATTCTGAAGTTAGAAACAAATCGTTGATGAATTTTACGATATTGTTTAAAAAAAAAATTATCATGAATTTTACAGTAGTTAAGGAAATTTTTTTTTATCATTGTTCTTAATACAGCCATGTTATAACATTTTTTTATCATTGTTCTTAATACAGCCATGTTATACATTTTTATTGTTCTTAATACAGCCATGTTATAACATTTTTTTTATCATTGTTCTTAATACAGCCATGTTATAACATTTTTTTTTATCATTGTTCTTAATACAGCCATATTATAACATTTTTTTTATCATTGTTCTTAATACAGCCATGTTATAAAATTTCAGTGTCATTGAAAATACCAGTACATGTAGTTGTATAAGTAGTAGTACATACATGTAGTTACACTAGCTACCTTGCCTTGCCGTATTATTAATATTTGCTGTCTTTTTTCCCAGGTACTAAAAATTCCAAGTTTCAACTACACAACAGTGTCAGGTCTTGAATATCTCATTGAAGTAAAAAATTCACAACTAAAAGCTGTTCCAAAGAACTGGGCAAAAATCAGCTCGTACGTATTTAGAAAATTGTTTTGTCATGTCATAGTTTGTGCTTTGCATTTGATCTAATAGTTGTGATAAATTGTAAGCTCTTTTTAATTTGTGTTACAGTATTTTTTTTTTTTTTTTTTTTCAACAAGTCGGCCGTCTCCCACCGAGGCAGGGTGACCCAAAAAAGAAAGAAAATCCCCAAAAAGAAAATGCTTTCATCATCATTCAACACTTTCACCACACTCACACATAATCACTGTTTTTACAGAGGTGCTCAGAATACAACAGTTTAGAAGCTATATACGTATAAAGATACACAACATATCCCTCCAAACTGCCAATATCCCAAACCCCTCCTTTAAAGTGCAGGCATTGTACTTCCCATTTCCAGGACTCAAGTCCGACTATATGAAAATAACTGGTTTCCCTGAATCCCTTCACTAAATATTACCCTGCTCACACTCCAACAGATCGTCAGCTCCCAAGTACCATTCGTCTCCATTCACTCCTATCTAACACGCTCACGCACACTTGCTGGAAGTCCAAGCCCCTTGTTACAGTATATTTATTAGTAAAATTGCCTTACTGTATCTGCAACTTAAGTTTTATGTGAAAGGGGTCATTCCCATAATATTAATACACGTAATCTTATTGTAAGTCTGTGAAATTATTATAATAATTAGATATTGTACATAGAAAAATCACTGCCTTTGCAACGACTGTGATATTGTGTGAATGATAGTGAAAGTCTTTCTTTCTTTTTTGGGTCACCCTGCCTCGGTGGGAGATGGCTGTCACGTTGAAAAAACAAAATGGAAAAATCGTTACATGGATGATTACAACAGTTAAAGGCATCATTTTGATAAAAGTTAAGACCTTTGAAATTTTCTTATTTGAATCATAAATTAATGGCTTTGGTTGTATAAGCATGGTGAAAGTTTACAGTTTTAATTATATGGTAAGGAAAAAATTAATAAATTAACATTAAAATAGAATTTACATTTTAACTCCTTTGTAATACAGTGGACCCCCGCATAACGATATTAATCCGTTCCTGAGAGCTCATTGTTATGCGAAATTATCGTTATGCGAATGAATTTTCCCCATAAGAAATAATGGAAATCAAATTAATCCATGCAAGACACCCCAAAGTATGAAAAAAAAAATTTTTTACCACATGAAATATTAATTTTAATACACAAACTGAAAAAGGTATGCACAATTACATGACACTTACCTTTATTGAAGATCTGGTGATGATTGATGGGATGGGAGGAGGAGAGAGTCTTAGTGTTTAGAAGGGGAATCCCCTTCCATTAAGACTTGAGGTGTCAAGTCCTTTTCTGGGGTTACTTCCCTTCTTCTTTTAATGCCACTAGGACCAGCTTCAGAGTCACTGGACTTCTGTCGCACAACATATCTGTCCATAGTGGCCTGTACCTCTCGTTCCTTTATGACTTCCCTAAAGTGTTTCACAACATTGTCAGTGTAATAGTCACCAGCACGGCTTGCAATAGCTGTGTGAGGGTGATTTTCATCCATAAAGGTTTGCACTTTCAGCCACATTGCACAGATTTCCTTAATCTTTGTAGTAGGCAACTTCTTCAATTTCTCTCTCCCCTCCTCCGAACCAGTTTCCTCAGGTCTGGCCTCTTGCTGTTGAAGTTGATCTAGCAGCTCATCAGTGGTTAGTTCTTCATTGTCCTCCTCCACCAACTCTTCCACATCATCCCACTAACCTCCAACCCCAAGGACTTTCCCAATGCCACAATGGATTCCTCAACTGGCATACTCCTCTCAGGGTTAGCCTGAAACCCTTCAAAATCCCTTTGGTCTACACATTCTGGCCACAGTTTTTTCCAAGCAGAGTTCAAGGTCCTCTTAGTCACTCCCTCCCAAGCCTTACCTATAAGGTTTACACAATTGAGGATATTAAAGTGCTCTCTCCAAAACTCTCTTAGAGTCAGTTGAGTTTCTGAGGTCACTACAAAGCACCTTTCAAACAGAGCTTTTGTGTACAGTTTTTTGAAGTTTGCAATAACCTGCTGGTCCATGGGCTGCAGGAGAGGAGTGGTGTTAGGAGGCAAAAACTTCACCTTAATGAAGCTCATGTCCCCATAAAGTCGCTCTGCCACGTCTGTAGGATGACCAGGGCATTGTCTAACACCAGGAGGCACTTAAGGTCTAATTTCTTTTCAGTTAGGTAATCTTTCACATTGGGGGCAAATGCATGGTGTAACCAGTCATAGAAAAAGTCCCTAGTGACCCATGCCTTACTGTTTGCCCTCCACAGCACACACAAATTAGCCTTGAGGATATTCTTTTGCCTGAACGCTCTGGGAGTTTCTGAGTGATACACTAATAAAGGCTTCACTTTGCAATCACCACTAGCATTGGAACACATCAACAGAGTAAGCCTGTCTTTCATAGGCTTATGTCCTGGGAGTGCCTTTTCCTCCTGAATAATGTAGGCCCTGCTTGGCATTTTCTTCCAAAACAGGCCTGTTTCATCACAATTAAACACTTGTTCAGGTTTCAGTCCTTCACTGTCTATGTACTCCTTGAATTCCTGCACATATTTTTCAGCTGCTTTGTGGTCTGAACTGGCAGCCTCACCATGCCTTATCACACTATGTATGCCACTACGCTTCTTAAATCTCTCAAACCAACCTTTGCTGGCCTTAAAATTCACTCACATCATCACTAGTTGCAGGCATTTTTTTAATTAAATCCTGATGCAACTTCTAGCCTTTTCACTTATGATCACTTGAGAGATGCTATCTCCTGCTATCTGTTTTTCATTTATCCATACCAATAAGAGTCTCTCAACATCTTCCATCACTTGCGATCTCTGTTTCGAAAACACAGTTGAACCTTTGGCAAGAACAGCTTCCTTGATTGCCGTTTTGTTGCCCACAATAGTGGCGATGGTTGATTGGGGTTTATTATACAACCTGGCCAGCTCGGAGACACGCACTCCACTTTCATACTTATCAATGATCTCTTTCTTCATCTCTATAGTAATTCTCACCCTTATTGCTGTAGGGTTGGCACTAGAAGCTTTCTTGGGGCCCATGGTCACTTATTTTGCAGATAAAATCACCAAAAACACTGTAATAATACGAAATGTTCCGATTGTATGCTTGGATGTTACCGCGGAGGCTGGCTGGTAAACAATGCCACCGGCGGAACATGTGAGGCTGGCTCAGGCCGCACATTAGATGCGTCTCGGATGAACAGCGTTGAGTGGGTTTTTTAGCGGTATGCGAGGCAAAATCTTAGCGATAAAATGTATCGGTATGCGGATTTAACGTTATGTAAGGCCAACGGTATGCGGGGGTCCACTGTATGGTCTTCGAGCATCAGCACTAAAAAAAATACATGCTTCCATTTTTGTAAAGCAACGAATTAATTTAGCTATTTTTTTGCAGTATAAATTTAAACAAAAATTATTTATTAATCTATTTTTAAGCAATGAATATTTATGTATTTTAGGCCATAAAAGGCAATTTTAATCCCACTTAATAAAGGTCACGAGTAAAGAATTTTTCTTTGGAAAATAATTTCACTATTTGCTATTGATAATTTAATATTTTTGTGCTTTGACACTGTCATGGATAATCCACCTGCATAGTTAAAATCTCAAATTACCTGTTTAATTCTAAATCACCAAGATGAGCCTGGCCCATGGCCGGGCTCCAAGAGTAGTAAACTCGAAACTTATCAAAGGTATATTGAAGGTGCTGTGTTGGTTTGGTAAACAGTAGTACTTCAGGATACGAACTTATTTCGTTCCAGAAGGCTGTTTGAGTGCTGATTCCGAACGAATTTGTTCCCATAAGGAATAATGTAAATTAGATTAATCCGTTTCAGACCCCCAAAAATACACTTACAAAAGCACTTGCATAAATACACTTACATAATTGTTCGCATTTTGAGCTATTCGTATCCCGAGGTACCACTGTATATATAAAAATCAGTTTGTTATTTAATTTTCACACAGTAATTTGTGTGAACTCAGCAAGGGATTCCATTGAAAATATTAGTAAAAATGCAGGAGTGGAATATAAGTGACTGTCCTCATTGTATGCTAAAAAATTTTAACGAAGAAGTATTTTCTATACTTGCACATAAATTTAGTTTTTCCATTAGATGTCACTGGTAATTATACCTAACAGTTTTGTCTTGTCTATCTTCAGCCCCTTTGTTTTCAGGTGATATCTTGAGAATGTTCTTCATATTGACTTCAGACTATATATGCATGTAATTACTGCATGTACTGTACTGTACTATTAGCAGTAGATTACCTTTTAGCTCTACCTTGTTATATATTACGTGTATTATTTGTCTTACACAGAACCAAGGCTTGTTGCAGATTTAGGTCGCCTGAAATTGAAAAGCTTTTCACTAAACTGCAGCAGCTACGAGAGCAGCTACAAGCAGCATGTCATGAGGTACAGTGCGTAGCACTTACTGATATGTTTGAAGTACTATGAGCTCCACAGTTATAATACTGTACCATAGTACAGTGGTACCTCGGGAAACGAACAGCTCAAAACGCGAACAATTATGTAAGTGTATTTATGTAAGTGCTTTTGTAAGTGTACTTTTGGGGGTCTGAAACGGATTAATGTAATTTACATTATTCCTTGTGGGAACGAATTCTTTCGGTATCAGCACTCGAACAGCCTTCTGGAACGAAATAAGTTTGTATCCCAAGGTACCACTGTATTTTGAGTACTTAATTTATTTTTAAGAATTTTTTATTTGATTGGTTTGAAATTTTTTGTTATCTCTGTATATAACATTCAACACTTAAGAAATTTTTTGGCTTTTCTCTGTCCATGTTGTTTTCCTTACCTCTCTTCCTCCTCTGTTTTCAGTCTTCTTATTTTTTTCTTCCAGCTTCATAACTTTTATTCAGCATGAATATTCCAATATTTATTAATAAAATCCAAGTCTTGCTTCATCCTCCTTGGTTTGTATTCATATTATTTTGACATTATAATCAAGCAATACTATTTAGGAGCTAAATCTTATATTTAGGTCATTAATGTACACCTGGAACAGTGTGGAGCCCAACACTGTTCCTTGTGGGACACCAATAGTTACTTTCCTATTTTGATGTTTCATCCCATATAATAAATGAATTTATTTTCTTATGTTCAAGTATTCCCTTCTCTATGCTGTTAGCTTTCCTTCCATCCTGGCTCATTTCTCCAGTTTGCAGAGTAGCTGTCTATATGACACCAATTTTTTTTTTTAGTCTAACCTCTATTAATCAAACATTTTCTGTGAGTAATTTAGTAATTAGTGTAATTGGTCCTAAACAGTACAAGGCTGCTAAACTGCCTTAGGTTTGGTTGTGATAGCTCACTATTTAGTCTAGCTCATTAGACTAACCTTCTAGCTGCTGGTGTCCCAGGCTGCTTGAACAGTGCATTCACAACACAGACAGCAATAAAGTTCATCATGACACTGCTCACAGTTCTGTTACATGTGTAGTCTTCTTTCTTTTAACAAACCGGCCATATCCCACTAAGGCAGATTGGCCCATAAAGAAAAACATAAGACTCTCTTTTTAACTTCAATAATCTATACAGGAGGAGTTACTAGCCCCTTGCTCCCAGCATTTTAGTCGCCTTTTATGACAACCAAGGCTTACGGAGGAAGAATTCTTTTCCATTTCCCCATGGAGATAAGAGGAAATAAACAAGAACAAGAACTAGTAAGATAATAGAAGAAAACCCAGAGGGGTGTGTGTATATATGTCCTTGTACATGCATGTGTAGTTTGACCTAAGTGTAAGTAGAAGTAGCAAGACGTACCTGAAAACTTGCATGTTTATGGGACAGAAAAAAGACACCACCAATCCTACCATCATGTAAAACTATTACAGGCTTCCATTTTACACTCATTTGGCAGGACGGTAGTACTTTCCTGGGCAGTTGCTGTCTCCATAAGCTGTGTGTGTCTGTAAGAGGCGAGTAAAATGTCGGGAGCAAGGAGCTAGTAACCCCATTTCCTTTATAAATTACAAAATTTAAAAAGAAAAACTTTCATTTTTCTTTTTAGGTCACCTGCCTTGGGATATGGTCGGTTCATTAAAAAAAAATATATATATACATATATATAGTTTTATTTAATTTGAATAAAGTTCAAGGAGTACATGTAATAGTAGCACTGCCAGTAGTGGCATATGACAGTCCTACTTGTCTGAATCAGTCTCATAAGAACATAATTGCCATGTATATGACGAGGAAAAACATTAGGGCAGGCCTGTAAAAAGATTTTTTTTTTTTTTAACACATCGGCTGTTTCCCACCGAGGCAGAGTGACCCAAAAAGAAAGAAAAACCCAAAAAGAAAGAAGAAGAACTTTCATCATCATTCAACACTTTCACCATTACTCATTCATAAGTGCAGAGGCACTTAGATATTGCAGCATAGACATCCCTCCAAACTGCCAGTATCCCAAACCACTCCTTTAAAGTGCAGGCAGTGTACTTCCCATTTCCAGGACTCAAGTCCAGCTAACCGGTTTCCCTGAATCCCTTCACAAAATATTACCCTTATCACACTCCAACTGCTCGTCAGGTCCCAAAACCCATTCGTCTCCATTCACTCCTATCTAACACACTCAAACAAACTTGCTGGAAGTCCAAGCCCCTCGCTCAACCTTTTCGGGGATGACCCTACCCTGCCTTCCTTCCCCTACAGATTTATATGACTTGGAGAGCGTATAAAGATAAACGTATGGTCAGTATAATATATATTCAGCAACACTGAAATGATTGTGATACGACTGTAAATTTGCTAGTTTATCCTACTACTTTTCCATTACACTACATTTTTTAATTATTGTTGTTATTCACTTCTCAGGCATGGCTTGAAGTCCTAGAATTGTTTTCTAGTCAGTACCAGCGTCATCGTCAGGCAGTCAAATGTCTTGCTACTCTTGATGCTCTGACATCTTTAGCAAATGTAGCAAAATCTCAGGGATATTGTAGACCCAAGCTCCATGCCATTGAGAGTGGGAAAAGGATACTGAAGATTATTGAAGGAAGGCATCCCATTGTTTCTCAGTTAAAGATGGGAGATGAGCAGTATGTTGCTAATGATACCCATTTAAAGGTATGATTAAAACAGAAAGTTGTTACTAAGAGGAAATTGAGAAAGATATTCAGTAGGTTCCACACTAAGAACTCTAATGCTCTTCTGAAAAGTGTTCTTTACTAAAGCGTTTGCAAACTCAGAACCAATTTTCCCATAAATATCCATGTTATAAATAGATGTGCATTTCCAGGTCATAATATTCCTTATTTCATTTATTTTTTAATCAGTGAAATTAAAAGTATTGAATAGTACTCAGATGAATTCCTCTCTCTTCCCTTCCTCTGTTATTTCCTTCTCCCATTACTGCTGTCCTATTTTCTTACCTTCCTCCCTGTCTCACATTCCCTCACTTACACTCTTCCTGTTACTTCCACTATCTTTCTCATTGTATCTGACACGACTATATATGTATACTCTCTGCTCTGTTATGGTGAGGGCATTCGTTGTCTGGACATATGGCATAGGTGTGGGGAAGAAGTAGTGAGGTGTAATTGCATGGAAAAGGTGGGTTTTAGTGTGAGTACAGTAAGCAAAGCTAGGGAAGGTAGAAGAGGAGGAGGGGGTCACCTGCCTATCCTCCTGTCCTTACCCCCACAGCCACCAGCCCAGGGCTGGGACCTTTTCTAAGAGTCTTGGTAATCCACTGGCTTCCCAACCATTTCTGTCTTCAGGGCTGAAAAACCACTCATGGTGAAATGTTCCCTTAACATATGTCTTCATCAATGCATGTGTCTTTTTATCTATGGAGGGAGAAAAGGAGAGCTTAGTAAGTAAAAATAATATTGTCTTGGATATGATTTATATGAAGTTTATGTGCATATTCTGAACTGTTTTCATATTGGTCAAGTTTATTAATACTCTCAAGAAACTGCTGTAATTGACAGTTGTTTTAGAAACTGGAATGGTTTTGATCTTGAGTATTCTGATTTTCAAGAGTTTACTGCCCTAAGTTTTATACATAAAATTATCATATTGAAAGTCCTATAATTATTGCCCTATCCTCATATTTTCTGTTTAGGTTGATGGTCAACGAATCATGCTTGTGACTGGACCAAATATGGGTGGAAAGTCATGCTACATGCGGCAAGTTGCACTCATAGCCCTTATGTCCCAGATTGGAAGTTATGTACCTGCAGTGTCAGTAGAAATGTCAGTTTTGGATGCAATATATACCAGGTAAGGAGATGTCGTATCTGAGGGCAATGTGTGGTGTGAATATCATGCAGAGCTCAGAGCTTGGAGAGTAGGAGGTTCAGTGTTACTAAAAGTATTATCCAGAGGGCTGAGGAGGGGTTGTTGAGGTGGTTTGGACATTTAGAGAGGGTGGAACAAAATTGGATAACTTAGAGAGCATATAAATCTGTAGTGGAGGAAGGTGGGGTAGGTTTTTCGTGCAAGCATGTGTAAGTGTGTTAGGAGGCAAATGGTTTTTGGGACCTGACAAGCTGTTGGAGTATGAGCAAGGTAACATTTTATGAAGGGATTCAGGGAAACTGGTTAGGTGGACTTGAGTCCTGGAGGTGGGAAGTACAGTGCCTGCACTCTAAAGGAAGGTTTGGAGATATTTGCTGTTTGAAGGGACATCTGAGCTCTTTTATCTCCATGCCTCTGGCAAGACTGATAGTGTGAATGATGTTGAAAGTGTTTCTTTATTTTTTGGGTCACCTTGCCTCGGTGGGAGACAGCCAACATATTAAAAAATAAAAAGTTATGTGTGTACTGTATATGCATTTTTTTAGACCTAATTATATTGATCATTTAATGTATATTAGGCTTTTATATACATTTGAAAGTGAAAAAGGCTGTGATTAACTTTACATTGATTTTCGCTTTACAGCAGTAAACTGGAACCTAACCTGCTGTATTAGAGGGGCCCTCTTCTATAGCAAATTATTTAACCAGTAATAATTTTTGTTTTCCTCTTTGTTCAAAATAGAATGGGGGCAGCAGATGAAATCTACACAGGAAGAAGTACCTTTATGGTTGAAGTTGGAGAAACTGCCGACATTATGAAGGAAGCAACGACAAATTCTCTGGTGATTTTGGATGAATTGGGACGAGGAACTGCTACACATGATGGTGTAGCTATTGCCATGGCAGCACTTGACTACTTTCTTAACCAGGTATAGTGTGACTCACAAAATTGTGATAGCACGATTGCAAAGAAACCACAGCAGTGGTGCGCTTTGAACCAGTGGCGAGTGAGTCGTAAAACTCCAGGCCAGTCCGTAAGTCAGCTGGCCAAGTGGCTTACACACTGGCCTGGAGTTGAAACCCCACCCGTTCCGTGGCAGGTATAGTATGTATTGTATAAGTAACAATTATAAATTTTAATATAGAATTTGCTGCTAGATAAAAAGACTGGCTTTTTAACTTCTGTAATAATAATATTAAAAATAATAATAATCAGAAGACAAGAGGTAGTTGTATTGCTACTATTATTATTCATAAAAAATGGTACATTGGTTAAGAATTTGGTAAAAATGTGGTTGCATGAGGGTCTTTTTATGGAATCCTTAGTGCACACAGCATTGTAGGTAGTTTGGAAATTAGGAGGAAGTGCAGGATTACCAAAACTATTATCCAGAGGGCTGAGGAGGGGTTGTTGAGGTGGTTCGGACATGTAGAGAGGTTGGAACAAAATAGAATGACTTCGAGAGTATAAATCTGTAGTGGAGGGTAGGCGGGGTAGAGGTTGGCCTAGGAAAGGTTGGAGGGAGGGGGCGAAGGTTTTGTGTGCGAGGGGTTTGGACGTCCAGCAAGCATGCGTGAGTGTGTTAGATAGGAGTGAATGGAGACAAATGGTTTTTAGGACTTGACATGCTGTTGGAGTGTGAGCAAGGTAACATTTATGAAGGGATTCAGGGAAACTGGCAGGCTGGACTTGAGTCCTAGAGATGGGAAGTACAGTGTCTGCACTCTGAAGGAGGGATGTTAATGTTGCAGTTTTATAACCAGTGTAAGTAGACCACTGGCAAGCCAGTGATGGAGTGAATGATGGTGAAAGTTTTTCTTTTTTGGGCCACCCTGCCTTGGTGGGAAACGGCTGATGTGTTAATAAATAATAAAATAATAATTTTAATATAAATTAAAATGATCAATACTGTCAGTAGCTAATCTTAGTACTATCTATTAATTTACAGATAGAAGGTCAAGCATTTTCTTTTACAAAGTATCTTAAACAGATTTAGTGCTTCATATAAAGTAGTATAAGTTCATTAATTTTATTTCATCGAATTTTCATTTTGCTAGTACATAAAACCAATTGAATCTTGTTAAGTAAATAGGACACAAATGCAACTAATGTGACATTTTATTGTGGCAACGTTTCACTCTCCATGAGCTTGATAAAGCTCCTGGAGAGCGAAACGTTGCCACAATAAAATGTCACATTAGTTGCACTTGTGTCCTTATACTTAACATATTGTTGGTAATTCTACCAATATTAATACAATTGAATCTTTATTTTAAAATTTATAGTTAGACATCTATTGTTCAAAGACATTCACATCTTGCAAATGTATTTTTCTTTTCCAACAGTTGTTCTGTGTCTGTCACAGTCTTAAATCCTTAACCAGTGCCAGTTCAATGCCTCACCTTTAATATATTTATGATCCATGCCTTTACTAGTGTACAGTGTTTTACAAATGCTTTTCCCCAGGTGAAGTGTCTGACTATATTTGTGACCCACTACCTGCCTCTCACTGAATTTGAGTTGCTGTATCCAGAGCATGTTGGTAACTTCCACATGTCTTTCATTGTTAATGAAGAAGGTTTGTATTCAAATCTAGTTTTAACTCTGTTAATGTTTATTATACTACAAGACTTTATTTATCTGGGCTTTAAGATCTTAAATATACACTGAAAGAATTTTATGTCAGGATAATAAGGTAATCTGAATTGTGATATCAGAAAATTTTTTGATAAGATGATTGATTGAATGATGGTAAGTAAGTTTATTCAGGTGCAGGTATGCATAAATGCAGTTTCATACATTTTCATGCATAGCAGCATATGTGTAGATTACCTAGGATGACCCAAAAAAAGTCAGACAAAGTGACTTATTTCCAAAATAATGGTGAATGTGTTGTTTTCTCCAGGTCACCCTGCCCATCCACAAGGTGGCTGTAGAGGTGAAAAAAAAAAAGGGGGTGGTGGGTGGGGGGGGGGAAATGTGACATTCTGCAAAATTTTGCTGTAATTTAAAAAGCTAAATTATTTCTCCTGACTTATGTCTATATCTTGTTAATTGTAAAAAATGTAGCACTAGTTATTGCTACTTCTCTTCATTAATTTTGTTTTTTAACAAAGGAAATTTATTTTCATAACATTACTTGCAGTATATCCAAGGGAGCTCTGACGTAAGTGGTCAGAATAGGGAGGAAGGTGGTTGTGTAGTCACATTGCAGGCACTAAGGTAATCAGTCTAAATAGAAAGGAATTAGTACTTGTAAGGGTTGTCAAAATTACATTACTGAACCTCTGTTAATCATTGTTTAGTCATGTCTGTTTAAAATAATGTACAGATACACAAATAACCCACACATAGAAGAGAGGAGCTTATGGCGATGTTTAGGTCCGACTTGGACCATTGCAACCTATGCGACTTACGTCCATCTGCACATACAACCAAAAAATTACACTATAAATTAGAAAAATAAAGAGTGTATGTACATAAATATAGAAATTACCTTTGTTCATACATCCGCCAGCGCACATTGATAAAAAGACAAGATAATCATGACAGAAATTTATTAGGTTAAAAGAATGCTGTACAGTAATACGACTTCTATATGCCATGCAAACATAATTCCAACGTCCATCCATTTCAAGATCTGACCGATCGGTCGGAATGGAAGTCGGTCATAAGTCAGGGAAGATCTGTACTTAAAATATGAGTACAGAATCTATTTGTTGATTGAGCTGTTACAGAAGTAAGGCATTTATTATTGGGTAACACTGAGCAGATTAGTTTAGGATTACCTTCACAAGAACATACAAATGTAAAATAAAAAGTACCTGCTCCATACAGTGGACCCCCGCTTAACGATCACCTCCCAATGCGACCAATTATGTAAGTGTATTTATGTAAGTGCGTTTGTACGTGTATGTTTGGGGGTCTGAAATGGACTAATCTACTTCACAATATTCCTTATGAGAACAAATTCGGTCAGTACTGGCACCTGAACATACTTCTGGAATGAAAAAATATCGTTAACCGGGGGTCCACTGTATTTTGTTTCATTGCTTATTCTAAAATTTCTCCATTTTCATACCAACAAGTTAGTGTGCTGTTCTTTGAGTAGTATTTACAGTAGAGATTTATTTTATATCTTATTTCTCTCTGTAGGTGAAGGCATTGATGTTGTGACCTTCTTGTATCAACTGACCTCGGGAAGTGCAGGCCAAAGTTACGGGTTGAATGTGGCACGTCTTGCTCGGGTACCACATCCCATACTGTTAAAAGCTGCAGAAAAATCCAAGCAACTAGAAAAGATATGCAGTATGAGAAGGTATTAACAAATTTTTTTTTTTTTTTTTTTTTTTTTTTTTCAACAAGTCGGCCGTCTCCCACCGAGGCAGGGTACCCAAAAAAGAAAGAAAATCCCCAAAAAGAAAATACTTTCATCATCATTCAACACTTTCACCACACTCGCACATTATCACTGTTTTTGCAGAGGTGCTCAGAATACAACAGTCTAGAAGCATAAACATATAAAGATACACAACATATTCCTCCAAACTGCCAATATCCCAAACCCCTCCTTTAAAGTGCAGGCATTGTACTTCCCATTTCCAGGACTCAAGTCCGACTATATGAAAATAACCGGTTTCCCTGAATCCCTTCACTAAATATTACCCTGCTCACACTCCAACAGATCGTCAGTCCCAAGTACCATTCGTCTCCATTCACTCCTATCTAACACGCTCACGCACGCTTGCTGGAAGTCCAAGCCCCTTACCCACAAAACCTCCTTTACCCCCTCTCCAACCCTTTCGAGGGCGACCCCTACCCCGCCTTCCTTCCCCTATAGATTTATATGCTTTCCATGTCATTCTACTGTGATCCATTCTCTCTAAATGACCAAACCACCTCAACAACCCCTCTTCTGCCCTCTGACTAATACTTTTATTAACTCCACACCTTCTCCTAATTTCCACACTCCGAATTTTCTGCATAATATTTACACCACACATTGCCCTTAAACAGGACATCTCCGCTGCCTCCAACCGTCTCCTCGCTGCTGCATTTACCACCCAAGCTTCACACCCATATAAGAGTGTTGGTACTACTATACTTTCATACATTCCCTTCTTTGCCTCCATAGATAACGTTTTTTGACTCCACATATACCTCAACGCACCACTCACCTTTTTTCCCTCATCAATTCTATGATTAACCTCATCCTTCATAAATCCATCCGCCGACACGTCAACTCCCAAGTATCTGAAAACATTCACTTCTTCCATACTCCTCCTCCCCAATTTGATATCCAATTTTTCTTTATCTAAATCATTTGACACCCTCATCACCTTACTCTTTTCTATGTTCACTTTCAACTTTCAAACCTTTACACACATTCCCAAACTCATCCACTAACCTTTGCAATTTTTCTTTAGAATCTCCCCTAAGCACAGTATCATCAGCAAAAAGTAACTGTGTCAATTCCCATTTTGAATTTGATTCCCCATAATTTAATCCCACCCCTCTCCCAAACACCCTAGCATTTACTTCCTTTACAACCCCATCTATAAATATATTAAACAACCATGGTGACATTACACATCCTGTCTAAGACCTACTTTTACCGGGGAAATAGTCTCCCTCTCTTCTACACACCCTAACCTGAGCCTCACTATCCTCATAAAAACTCTTTACAGCATTTAATAACTTACCACCTATTCCATATACTTGCAACATCTGCCACATTGCTCCTCTATCCACTCTATCATATGCCTTTTCTAAATCCATAAATGCAATAAAAACTTCCCTATCTTTATCTAAATACTGTTCACATATATGCTTCAATGTAAACACCTGATTTTACACATCCCCTACCCACTCTAAACCTCCTTGCTCATCCGCAATCCTACATTCTGTCTTACCTCTAATTCTTTCAATTATAACCCTACCGTACACTTTTCCTGGTATACTCAGTAAGCTTATTCCTCTATAATTTTTACAGTCTCTTTTGTCCCCTTTCCCTTTATATAAAGGGACTATACATGCTCTCTGCCAATCCCTAGGTACCTTCCCCTCTTTCATACATTTATTAAACAAAAGTACCAACCACTCCAACACTATATCCCCCCCTGCTTTTAACATTTCTGTCATGATCCCATCAGTTCCAGCTGCTTTACCCCCTTTCATTTTACGTAATGCCTCACGTACCTCCCCCACACTTACATTCTGCTCTTCTTCACTCCTAAAAGATGGTATACCTCCCTGACCAGTGCATGAAATTACTGCCTCTGTTTCTTCCTTAACATTTAAAAATTCCTCAAAATATTCTCGCCATCTTCCCAAAACCTCCATCTCCCCATCTACTACTCCCTACTCTGTTTTTAACTGACAAATCCATATTTCCCTAGGCTTTCTTAACTTGTTTAACTCACTCCAAAATTTTTTCTTATTTTCATTAAAATTTCTTGACAGTGCCTCTCCCACTCTATCATCTGCCCCTCCTTTTGCACTCTCTCACCACTCTCTTTACCTTCTTTTACTCTCCATATACTCTGCTCTTCTTATAACACTTCTGCTTTGTTTTAAAAACCTCTCAAAAAGCTACCTTTTCTCTTTTATCACACCCTTTACTTTTTTTATCTTCACAATCATCCTCTTTCCTCCTGCCCACCTCCTATAACCACAAACTTTGCCCACATTCTAATACTGCATTTTTTAAACTTTCCAACCCTCTTAACCCCCCCCTACTCATCTTTGCACTAGCCCACCTTTCTCAATGTCCTTATATCTCACCCGAACTTTTCCCCTCCCTTATTTATTTCACTTTCACCTCCCCCTTACTTGTTGTGCCACCTTCCTCTTTTCCATCTACCTCTTACTCTAACTGTAGCCTACAACTAAATAATGATCCGAATATCGTTGCCCCTCATAAACATGTACATCCTGAGCCTACCCTCAACCCTTTTACACCAATACATATCTTTAAAAAAACTTACTTTCATTACGGTGCACCTCCTACCTTGTATATTTATTTATCCTTTTTCAAAATATGTATTACTTATTACCAAATTTCTTTCTACACATAGCTCAATTAAAGGCTCCCCATTTAAAATTTACCCCTGGCCCCCCAAATTTACCTACAAACTCCCTCCATAACATTTTTCCCCACTTTAGCATTAAACCCCAACCACCATTACTCTCACACTTGATCAAAACTCCCAACGCATTCACTCAACATTTCCCAAAAATCTCTCTCTCTCCTCTACACTTCTCTCTTCTCCGGTGCATACACGCTTATTATAACCCACTTTTCACATCCAACTTTATTTTACTCCACATAATCCTTGAATTAATACATTTATAGTCCCTCTTTTCCTCCCATAGCTTATCCTTAAACATTATTGCTACCTTCCCTTCTTTAGCTCTAACTCTGTTTGAAACCCTGACCTAATCCCATTTATTCCTCTCCACTGAAACTCTCCCACCCCCTTCAGCTTTGTTTCACTTAAAGCCAGGACATCCAGCTTCTTCTCATTCATAACATCCACAATCATCTCTTTCTTATCATCTGCACAACATCCACGCACATTCAGACTTCCCACTTTGACAATTTTCTTCTTCTTTTTTTTTTAGTAATCTTTACAGGAAAAGGGGTTACTAGCCCATTGTTCCCGGCATTTAGTTGACTTTTACACACGCATGGCTTTACGGAGGAAAGATTCTTATTCCACTTCCCCATGGATATAAAAGGAAAATTAATAAGACCAAGGAACTATTAAGATAAAATCAAAGAAAACTCAGATGAGTGTGTATAAATAAATGTGTACATGTATGTGTAGTGTGACCTAAGTGTAAGTAGAAGTAGCAAGACATGCCTGTAATCTTGCATATTTATGAGACAGACAAAAGACATCAGCAATCCTACCATCATGTAAAACAATCACAGGCTTCGTTTTACACTCACTTGGCAGGACGGTAGTACCTCCCTGGGTGGTTGCTGTCTACCAACCTACTACCATATTAACAAATATGCACTATATTAAGAAATTTTTAGTTTTATATGAAATAGCTGATTCTTATCATCATAATAACTAAGCTACTAAATTAAGAAGCTATCTGTGTGCACTGATTTAATTAATAAAATTGTATTAATTTCAGAAAAGAAAAAGAGATATTCCAAAAACTTGTCCAGTCAACTGAGAACACAAGAGAGCTGCTGCAAGAGCTCAAGAGGTTAAGTGAATAAACTCGTCACTATTGTTCAGGAAATGACATGGAAGTCCAGAAGAAGCATCCCTGAAACAGATCTGAATTCAGTCATCAGTGTCTGTTTTATGTTAAATATTTTATCAGTGTTATTATTAGTATCATGTATTTTCCAAAACATTTTCAGGTAAAATTATTTAAATATAATTATTATTTAAAATATTTTGATAATTAATATACTGAATTCCTTGTAAATTATTATATGTAAAGTAAGACTGCATTGTTTTGCAGGAGTTGAATATCCACATCAGTTTAAGATTTCCTTGCAAATTGTTGGATGCTATAAGTGAAATTTTTATAACTAATTTTAGATTGTGATTAGTTTACTTAGTTTGATCCATTCATTAGAATACATGTCCTGTAGTTGGTGTTAAACATATTTGTAGGAATTTTTTATGCCCAGTTCAGAATTACAGTGTGGTGTTACAAATTTTGAAGCTCCCTTCTTATCAGGTGTAACCAAAAGAGTTTTGTTAATGATGTAGCTGTGGAGGCTACAATAAATTCAAAATACTATAGTCAAAGATGCTGCAAGAAACAAGATAAAATTTAAAGATTAAAAATTTTGATAACCCTTTTGTACATTTTATATCTACCTAACCACAGTAAAGAAAACTGTAAGCTGATTAAGTCTGGACTATCAGTAATGAAGAGCTTATATGTTATATGTGATACTGGTGAAGGACTCTGATATGAAGAATTGGAACTAGCACCTTAGTGTGAATTGCCTCCCATTCCCCAGAATCCCTATGGGTTTAGCACTCCCCATGATTACAATAATCCCATTCCCTAGGCTGTGTGACCTTGGTGCTAATGAGGGGCTCCTAATCCAAGGAACTGGACCTGTCCTTTTCTTGTATCAAAACCCATCTTTCCCAGACACTATGATCCCCATGGGTTTAGCACTCTTCTCAATGAATGTGATGATGATGATAATGTGAATTGTTCCACCCCTGGTATTGTAACTTTTATTCAACAGTAATGAATGTTGTATTGTAAAAACCTTTATGCTCGTGACTTCAAGGTAGGTGACTTGATACTGGTTCTTGATCTTGGGAACTTTAGTTATCCTTCACTTTCTTTGAGTAAACTTGATTGTTTCCCATTTTCCAGGTGCAGTATAACCCCTATGGGTTTAGTGCCTCACCAGGAATGTAATAAAATATAATGCTAATGAAGAGCCTTTGCTCCAATGAAATGGAACAATTGACCCCCTTTTTACTCCCATTCCTCAGGCACTGTATGACTTAGACTTTATACTTCCATGTAAACGTAAGATACAGCTTCCAAAAACCTCTTGTGTGGATTGAGACACATGGCTAGGGTTGTGGCCCCTCAAGGGAGCTTCCTTCAAGCCAATGAGGGACTTTTGATCCAAGGAATTGAACTTGTGCTTGCCTTCCTTGGATCAGTCCTGAATGCCTCCCATTCCCCATGGTACTATGACCCCCTCTAATGGGTTTAGTGCTCCTCCATGGATGTAATATCAAGGAAGCTTCATTGATGTTGGTGAGGGGCTCTATAACCAAGGCATTGGACTTATCCTTCCTTTCCTTGGATTGAATCTGATTGCCTCAAATTTTCCCAGGTCATATGATCCCTACAGGTTTAGCACTTAAAGGGACTTCAATAATCTAGGTTCTTGAATGATTTTATGTGTGTAGTAAAGGGTCTCTGTACATTCTCCAGTTCTGCAATTTTGCCTGCCTTAATTAAATTGGGCTGTTAGTGTACAGCAATATTCCGGTGTGGAGAGAACAAGTGACTTGAAGAGTATCATCATTGGTTTGCCATCTCTTGATTTGAAAGTTCTAGTTGTGTTTCTAGTTTATCATTTCCCTTGCTGTTGTGATCCTTGAATGTTAAGATATGACATTATCACATCTAACAATGTGACATTTCTTGTATGAAGTTACTTTTAGTTGCTCAACTTATGTACCCACTTCCTGTACCACTTACTATTGTATGACCTATACACCCATATACAGTATTTAAGAATAAATCCCAAATTATTATTAGTACTATTATTATTATTTTACTACTTAAGATGAGATAAAAGGTAATGATATCATTTATGGTAATTTTGGGTACTGTAATTAATAGATTCACAGGGTTAAGCCATAAGTGCTTTTGGGAGATTTCTCTTCAGGGAGGTGCTGTGATACTGGTGAAGTTCTCTTGATCCAAGGAACTGGAGCTATTCCTTTCCTTGGCTCAAATTTAATTACCTTCTATTCCCCAGTAGCTGTATAAATATAATAAAAATATAGGAGAATTTGAAAAGAAGATTTAGAGATAAGTGAAAGATTTTGTGTAAAAGAAGTGTGGTATGTACTAGAATTTTAGCTTCTAACCAAAAGTACCAAAGTCAAACCTGGGTGAGGTGGGACATGTGAGCAGCTTTCCTAACCTAACCATTACTGTCCTTATTCACCTGGTAGTAAATGGATGCCTAGGAGTTAGTCTATTGTTGTGGGTTGCATTCTAGGAAAGAGAGTTTAGGATCCCAATGGAATTCAGCCACACTTCTTGGCTGTCTTGTGAGTTTTTTTTTTTAACACGTCAGCCGTTTCCCACCAAGGCAGGGTAACCCAAAAAGAAAGAAAAAAAACTTTCATCATCATTCAACACTTTCACCATCATACATAATCACTGTCTTTGCAGAGGCGCTCAGATACGACAGTTTAGATGTCCCTCCAAACTGTCAATATCCCAAACCCCTCCTTTAAAGTTCAGGTATTGTACTTCCCCAGAAATTCTTATTTGCAACCACTGCCAGCCTCAGAGTTATCTCTCGAGTTACCAGACCCTGCCACGTGGAGGCCAGTGGTTTGTCTTGTGTTATCCTGCGTTATTAATCCTCCCTACTCTTGTCGGTTTAGCGCTTTCTTTGATTATAATAATAATATTAATCCTCCCATGGTACTAATCCAAACAAAATCATCTGAAGACCACTATTCATTGTTTGACTTAACTGTGTTATCCCAGGTCAAACATATAGGAAGAAATAGATAGCAACTATCACCTATACAAGCCCTCAGAACTACTATATAAATTTATAATCTAAAATATTTGAAGGTTTCCTTGAATAAATCCAGTGCTGTATGACTCTGGTGGGTTTAGTGCTTAGTTTTCATTATAATAATAATCTTGAATAAATCTTACTTTACATCTCTATTCATGGTAAAGACCTTCATTCTTTCTGGTGTTGATTCAAGAAACTGGAGTCATCCTGTTCCTCCTTAGACTAAACTTAATTACCTCCTTTTCCCCGATCACTGTATGACCCTTGTGGGTTTAGTGCTTCCACATCTATATAATAAAAATAATTTGGGACTGATGGAAATGTCACATTTAGTTTTTTGTGGTTTTTCTGGGTCAAATTGTACATAATATTAATAATAAAGATATTAAACTAACTATTAAAAACTTGCAAATGTTTAAATTTTGTATGAGACCTAAATATATATTGAGCTACTTAATTACTTTCTACAATATTAACTCATTTATTTACTCATGTAGATTTATTTACTAGTTTACCTAATTACTAACTAATGTATTTACATAATAGTAACTACTTATTCACTGTGATGAATGGTTTGAAAAACCGACAAGTTGAAGATTGAGACACTTATGCAGCATATGGGAATCTTTATTCAGGAAACGTTTCACCACACAGTGGCTTCATCAGTCCAATACAAAGAGGAAGGCGTAAGGAGAGGAGGAGTATGAGGTGATCAGTCCCTCAGCCTGGAGTCGATGTGTTCAGTCCATCAATCTTGTAGAATGTACAGCATAGGGCCGTAGACGTGGCTTATGTACTGTAGTGAGGTGAGGTGAAGCAGGCGGAGGCGGGGTCATAGTGGTACCATCCACTAGTCGAAGTAGGTCTTTGTCCAAAGGTTGAACAAGTGTTGAAGAATTCTTTGTAACAAGATCCCATGATGCTGCAGTGTCTGACAGTTGTGATGAATGGTTTGAAAAACCGACAAGTTGAAGATTGAGACACTTATGCAGTGGATGGTACCACTATGACCCTGCCTCCGCCTGCTTCACCTCACCTCACTACAGTATATAAGCCACGTCTACGGCCCTATGCTGTACATTCTACAAGATTGATGGACTGAACACATCGACTCCAGGCTGAGGGACTGATCACCTCATACTCCTCCTCTCCTTACGCCTTCCTCTTTGTATTGGACTGATGAAGCCACTGTGTGGCGAAACGTTTCCTGAATAAAGATTCCCATATGCTGCATAAGTGTCTCAATCTTCTACTTATTCACTCCCTAATCTACCGATTCAACTTTTCACTCATTCACTTATTGACTGACTTATTCATTCAGTTATCTGCTGACCGATTCACATACTGACTTATACAGATTTATTCACTCACTAACCTAACTCACTAGTTAAGTCACTTATTCACCCACATTCACTCTGACATTTCCGATAAGTGATAATATATAACAAGGATTTCTCTAGTGACAGATGTGAGAGTATAGTGAATGAGATGAGGTTAGTGATTTACTCATTACTCACTTTGACATTAATATATGACAATTTCTGTGGTCTGAGATGAGTATGGTGGATGAGGTTTGTCCTTCATTTACTCATTCATCTGCTATGAGGTTTTCTGTGGTCAGAGATGAGAGTGGTGAATGAGGTTAGTGTTTTACTCACTCATTCACCCTGACATTTACGATAATACAGGAGGTGGGTGAATAGGTGGTGATGAGTGTGCAGGTGATGAGTGATGGGTGGGTGAGTGATGGTGGGTAATGGTTGAGTGGATGAGTGGTGGGTGAATAGGTGGTGATGAGTGTGTGCAGATGATGAGTGATGGTGGGTAATGGCTGAGTGGGTGATGAGTAATAGGTGAGTGATGGATGAGTGTAGTGGGTAGGTGATGGGTGAGTGGATGAGTGGTGGGTGGGTGATGGGTGAGTGGATGAGTATGGTGGGTGGGTGATGGGTGAGTGGATGAGTGTGGTGGGTGGGTGATGGGTGAGTGGATGAGTGTGGTGGATGGATGAGTGTGGTGGGTGGGTGATGGGTGAGTGGATGAGTATGGTGGGTGGATGATGGGTGAGTGGATGAGTATGGTGGGTTGGTGATGGTGAGTGGATGAGTATGGTGAGTGGATGAGTGTGATGGGTGAGTGTGGTGGGTGGGTGATGGGTGAGTGGATGAGTATGGTGGGTGGGTGAGTGGATGAGTGTGATGGGTGAGTGTGGTGGGTGGGTGATGGTGAGTGGATGAGTATGGTGAGTGGATGAGTGTGGGTGATGGGTGAGTGTGGGTGATGGGTGAGTGGATGAGTGCGGGTGATGGGTGAGTGTGGTGGGTGGGTGATGGGTGAGTGGATGAGTGTGGGTGATGGGTGAGTGTGGTGGGTGGGTGAGTGGATGAGTGTGGGTGATGGGTGAGTGTGGTGGGTGGGTGATGGGTGAAGTTAGTGTTGATGGCGCGCAAGCAGAGGGCGGTGATCCACCATCACTCTGATGGCGTCTGCATCCCTCCTCCACCTGTCAACCTTATATCCTCACGTTCACCTCCTCCACGCACATCCACCACCACTCTACTCCACCGTGAGTACTCCACCACTCCACTCTCAGCCCCCCCACTCCATAAATATCCCGGGGAAGCCAAGAATGGGGCACTTTTCCCACCAGAAATGGGACGGTCTGTTCTTTAAGGACAGTATTCTGACTGGGCTTAGACCTTATTTACCCATCAAGGGAGGTGTATAGATGATAATAAAGAGGGCTTTTGATCCAAGGACTTCCTCATATCCTCCCTTGGATCAAAACTTCCATTTCCCCATAACCGTCTACGACCCCTACGGATTTACCTCGATTACAATAAAAAAATTAACCATATTTAGCATTAACCTGGGGCTAATTATCTTTATTTCTACACGTAAGTAAGGTAATATCCAATAATGTAATTCCAGCAATGTAATAAAAGGAATCCTAGTATGACTAATTCTAGAATCCTAGACAACACCCAAATTTCCTAGTATGTCCATTAATGTGCATTATACCTCTATATTTCCCTAATTTAACTCATTTTTTAACTTTATTCTGCTAGTTTCATAACCCAAAACCAATATATATATATATATATTGGGTTTAAGCCCTTTAAAAAAACTGTTTTTTCAATTTTTTTTTTTTTTTGGTGTTTATAGATTATCTCCCCGGTGTCTATAATGTGATATAATCAGCCTTGTTGACCATAATTTGATAATTAAAGTAATGGAACTTTTTCTTTTTTTGGTGAGGACAAGGGTGACAGGAAATACTGAACAGCTGACATAGACTACGAGACTTATGGGGTCTGGTCAGACCTGTTTTGGGGTCTGGTTACACCTGTTTTGGGGTCTGGTTACACCTGTTTTGGGGTCTGGTTACACCTGTTTTGGGGTCTGGTCACACCTGTTTTGGGGTCTGGTCACACCTGTTTTGGGTCTGGTCACACCTGTCATGGGGTCTGGTCAGACCTATTATGGGGTCTGGTCAGACCTATAATTGATGTGAGTAAATCTCATTTGTAATCAGAGACTGTGAATTGTAGGGTCTGATGAGACCCTGACTCGTAGGGTCTGATGAGACCCTGACTCGTAGGGTCTGATGAGACCCTGACTCGTAGGGTCTAATGAGACCCTGACTCGTAGGGTCTAATGAGACCCTGACTCGTAGGGTCTGATGAGACCCCGACTTCTAGGGTCTAATGAGACCCAGACTCGTAGGGTCTGGTGAGACCCTGACTCGTAGGGTCTGACGAGACCCTGACTCGTAGGGTCTGATGAGACCCTGACTCGTAGGGTCTGATGAAACCCTGACTCGTAGGGTCTGATGAGACCCTGACTCGTAGGGTCTGATGAGACCCTGACTCATAGGGTCTGATGAGACCCCGACTCGTAGGTCTGATGAGACCCCGACTTGTAGGTCTGAGACCCCGACTTGTAGGGTCTGATGAGACCCCGACTTGTAGGGTCTGATGAGACCCCCGACTTGTAGGTCTGATGAGACCCCGACTTGTAGGGTCTGATGAGACCCCCGACTTGTAGGGTCTGATGAGACCCCCGACTTGTAGGGTCTGATGAGACCCCGACTCGTAGGGTCTGATGAGACCCCGACTCGTAGGGTCTGATGAGACCCCGACTTGTAGGGTCTGATGAGACCCCGACTTGTAGGGTCTGATGAGACCCCGACTTGTAGGGTCTGATGAGATCCCGACTTGTAGGGTCTGATGAGACCCCGACTTGTAGGGTCTGATGAGACCCCGACTTGTAGGGTCTGATGAGACCCCGACTCGTAGGGTCTGATGAGACCCCGACTCGTAGGGTCTGATGAGACCCCAACTTCTAGGGTCTGATGAGACCTATTTAAAGTGTGTAATCAGAGGGCATACAGAGTGGCATTTGGCTCGCAACCTTAAAAACCCAGGATTGAATCCTGGGCAAAATGAGATGTATTAGCAAGTCTCCGAACACTGCTGCTCCCATTACAGTGGTAAATAGATACAGTACCTACAGAAACCTCTGGAAATAAATCCCACTGCTTGACTATCTTGGGTTATCCTGGATTATTAACCCTTCAGAATTACTGAATCGAGTGAAATCTTCATAGCCACAAACAGCATCCTAGACCCCCCAACTATTCTTCCTTTATGTCATTGAGTTACCAGATGTCACAAACAGCTTAAACCTGCGCTATTTTCAGATAAAATTACCTTTTATTGTACGTACCTCATATCCAGATCTAAATGTTCTTAGTAATGTGGAATATGAACTTAGAGCAACACCTATATGTAAGTGTTAGGCATAGAGTAAACTTCTTAATTACAAACTTAAAAATGTATGTTTGTATCATAAATTGTACTACCTCATATTAATAATAGAGTAAAATATTGAATATTTGTAATCTACCACTCTTCATCTGTCTAGACTTAAGTAATCTTGAAGTATGTATGTATTAGGTGAAGTCTGCCCGAACTCATAGAACTGAGATTCCCAAGCCAACGAGAGGTTAGCAGTGAGTAGTAGCACTCAGAATTCTGTCTTCTTTAATATCAACTAGATACCCAGCCTAAATATATCACACTAAGTAAATCTGTACATCATACAAAACAGATGTTGCTGCAAGCTGCCGAGTAAATAAATGCCTCGGCATGATATTGGCTCTCTTTGTACCACTCAAATTATGAAATGTAAACACACATTGTAACCTTAGCAAAGAAATAAAATTTTGATTTTGATTCATGTTGCATTGAGGAGGAAGCTGGAGGCAGTAGAGATGTTTGAAAGGAATGTGTGGTCTGAATAATATGCTGAGAATTTGGTGCATAGAAAGATGGTTTGGGGTTATGATAGATATAACTCAGAGGGTTGAGGAGGTGTTGTTGAGATGGTTTGGGCATAGAGGATGAAGAAGAATAGTATAATCAAGGTATGTAAATCTTGGGTGGAAGGGAGGAGTAGTAGGGGTCATCCCAGGAATGGTTGAGGGAGGGTGTGAAGGAGGATTTGTGAAGTAGGAGTTTGAGTTTACATCTCACATGTTTGTGTGTATATTTGTGTGTGAGAGACACTTGTGCAACATTTAGGAATCTTTATTGAGGAAACGATTTGCCAGCCAGTGACTTCTTCAGTCCAAGACACTGACTGGCAAAACATTTACTTGATAAAGATTCCCAGATGTTGCACAAGGGTCTCATTTTCCAACTTGTCAGTTTTGTAAACCATTTACATCATATTTGTGTGTGTTGGTGTGTGGATGGTGAGAGTAGGTGGAGACAAGTGGATTTTTAGGTCTGACATGGTGTTGTAGTCAGAAGATTACAAAAGCATATAGGACTGAATTCTAACATTCTGATATCTAAAAGAAAGTTCAAGTGGTATTGAGCTGCTGACAGTAGTAATGATTCCATTACAGTTATAAAGAGTTGGTTGCACGTTTTTGCATGGTGCAAGTTGTTGCAATATCAGAGATATTACTGTATCAGTATTTCAACCATAATACACAATTACGTATATAAATAAGTTATAGATTTTAGTAAATTTATGCTAATCCCCCTTCCCTTTTTTTTTTTAGTCTGGAGTTATTTGAAAAAAAATAAAAAGTAAAATTTCATCAAAAGTTTTAAGTACTGTATTTTTCACCTTCACAAAAAGTTACCATTGCATGTATATATATCTTCAAAAGTTTATTATTCCCCCACCAAAAGTACAGAAAAGTGGGACATGTACAACAGTACAGTATGTCTGTTTATTTGCTCATCTGTACAAAGTTTAGTTTTCGATCAATAATTCATTGTCATGTTTATGCTTTTTATTGAAATTTGCTACAGTGTTACCTTGTCATAAGACTTATCTGGGATTGCACTCCAGACAGATCTGCTTATATATAGCACCACCAGTGAATAACTGAAAAACAGTTTTCAAACAGCAATTCACTAATGGTTTGGTACTGCTTTTTGAAATTTGCTACAATGATTCCAACTTTGCCTTACATACATTTAATCCCTCTTGTAATGGGTTGCGTTATCAGGAGGAAATTAAAATATTTTCTATTTTGTATTTCAGAAATAGTCACTCCTAGGCACTGCTTTTTTTTCTGTGCTGATGGTATTGAAACTATAAAAGAGTTATCCATTGGGAAATATGCTTAGATTTCTTTTCTTCTTTTTATTAGGCTTTGGCTGAATTTTCAAGGCATGAAATCTCAAAGCACTTAGATCCACAAAAATCCAGAAAATTTGATGCCACATCTTTTTGTGCTTTACATTCAGCATTGGCTGTTGCATCTACAGCTGAATTCCTAAGCTCATTTTCTAACTACAGCTGCATTCTGGTGTTCAGGGCAGTGAACTTGCAAATCACTGATATTCTGCAATTCAAGACCTGAGAATATCTGGTAGTGTGGTAAAACATGCCAAAAGATTCTCCTGCACTGACTCAGATTTGCAAGACTGCTGGCATTGTCATTCATTAGAGTTAGTGACCAACAAGGGTTTTTGTGGTGAACCTTTTATTGGGCTCCTAGCCATCTTTTTTCTTATTGCCAGTTGAGGGGAACTGGTGATTAAGTACTGTTCACGTATTTTGTCATGCTACTGACTGTATACAGTATTGGGCACACCAGCTTCATACGGTCATGTCATTGTGAGGTGCTTAGTATGTAAAGACTCGTGTATAATACTGTCAGCTGACCTGTCATTTAGAGGTGTTGCTGTTTGGATTTCCATCTAAGCTGTGATGTCAGTGTGCTTCCCACAAGACAGTAATTGAATGAGTAACAGTGAAGGTTTTTACTCTTTTGGGTCAATTTTTCTCTGTGGGAGATGGCTGGTGTGTTAAAACAATATCAATTAGAATCACAAACTTATTAATGCTAGCTAAATAATTCTGAAGACTTGTGCAAGAAGAACAGAAATGCATATTGCATTTGGGGTACTCTGTAAGAAACTGTTACTGTTACCGTTTTTTCTCTGAATTTTAGAGGCTAAGCAAAGGAGGTTTGAACTGAACAGAGAATACTGTACATGTTGCATTTGCTTGTGAATGATTTATCATAGCTTTTCGTTTTCCTTCACATTTATGAACCTTCCTCTTAAATCCCCTTTTGCATTTGGGTGTTGGCCACCTGTAGGTGACAAAGCTTTGCTTTTTCCTCTTATTACTATACCTACCATAATTTATTGCAGTACTTTTATTCCAGTTTGCCATTATTCCTTGGACTGGAGTTTGCCCCCTTGCTCCTATTTCCATTCGTTCTCCATACTCCATTCACCCATCATTCCTGTCCTCCATCTTGCCTTCATCTGATGATGGCCTTAATTACCATGTAATTTCACAGCCTTAATACTTTGTTCCACAGCTTTCTTCAGCCGATTTTGATTTGCATCATAATACTTCCACATTTACTGTTAACCTCTTTGTTTTGACTGTGTCCCTTTGGATTTATAAATTCTTAGATTATATCCTTTCCATGCACTCAGCCTCCTCTCATTTCTGTCTATTTAATTTTTTTTTTATCTCATTACATTTGCTATTACAGGAGTGATGCTATTGCTACTCAGGAGTATGGCCCAGGCTGTCAATGGACCGACAATGTAAGCTATTCATGCTTTTTCTTTTGCTTAGCAGTTGCAGTGGTTTTAATACTTATTTTGAATACAGTAACCTTAGTATGCAAAGCTGTTTGTTTGTTTTTTAAATATTGTCCTGTAAATGACAATTATAATCATTTTGTGTAGAGGTGATATGCCATGGCAGGAGATGCATACTGCAGACTAAGGAAGTCTCAAGTTTTGGTCAGTTGTCAAAGTTGTCCTAACAAGCCATGTCATGGACAACTGGTGTCTCATGGCCCACAATAATGAACAACAAAATACATTTGCAAACAAACCACAGAACAGGCCTGGCCCTGGAATTTTAGGACACTCTTGCCAAGGGTTCATTCCCCACCCATTCCATAATTCACACTAAAGAAATTTTTCAGGAACTCTACAAAAAAAAGGAACCTCATAAGGCTGCATTTGTGGAAAAACCTAAATCTATTAATGAATGCCTAACCAAAAAAATAGCAGGACTCATTTTATTCACTGCGAGAAAAGCACAAATTAAATCT